ACGGGCACGATAAAAAAAAAAGAAAATAAGATTGAGAGGCACTTGTTCGGGATTTGTTCCATGAGGCAGGCCTGCCAAAGGATCAATTGCACTGTGCGTAGTGCATGTCCGAGCACGAAGACGCGGGAGCTGACCTTGGGGGGATGCGTTATTGCATCACGATGCTTCATAGAGCGATGCCTTTTGGCGCAGACGCGATTAAAGGACCAGTGGCCGCAGTCGCAGCAAACAGCGCTGGGAAAAAAGGTGGTCAAATTTTCGTTGGCATGTACAGGATGGCTTTCAATGTAGTGCGCCATCAGCGGATCGCCCTTGCGCATTGAGCACACACATCCTGGCGCAGGACAGTCAATCCAGTTCAGAGAAGGAAAGCACTCGGAAGGGCGGCGGAGATCGGGTGGAGTGGAATGGTGCGTTTGAACATGGCGTTGCTCATTGGAATCCGAGACAAGCATGTTGCAGATTGCACAAGACACCGGAGAAGGAGTCGCCATAATGGCTGCACGCAAAGAAAAGAAAGGCAAGGTGAGATGGTTCACGCATCAATAAATGGCAGCGCATGCGAGGAATGAGGAAGGGTGGGGACTCACCGTTGAGGAGAAGGAAAATGCAACGGAAATTGTAACGGAAGAACGAATCTCAACGGTCAAACCATAAGGGATGACACTTGGTACGTGACCGAAGTTGTCTCGATGAACAGGTGAAAAAGTGTCTCCGACGGCACCACGAGCGGCTGACATGCTGACAATTTATAGAGATGTATTTTACTTGTTCTGTAGACCTGCTGCTACCAAGTGATTTCGTTGCTGCTCTTTCGTATTGTTTTCGTTAAGTTTGTGTTGCTAATTACGGTGTTAATGCGGATGTTTATGAGGAGAACTGGGATATAAGTAATATTGCATGTGAAGTTGATGTCGGTATTTCTGTAGTTGTTGTCGATGGGTGCTGTCGCAGGGCAACACGGTGTGTAAGGAATGCATCGCCTTTGCCTTTACATCTGTAACACACACACACACACACACACACACAGAAACAGAGACGTCGGATTGGGATTCCAGTCTCCTAGTCTCTCAGGAGATCGATCCTCAGGCGGGCGCGATTGACGACTGCAGGGTAAGTGGTGGCGCTCGGGCGGGAAGAATGGCAGTGCCAGGGGGGCAGTGGAGGGCCTGTTGAGGTGGGGGCTGGGGGCATGCATTTATGGCATGGGGAGAATGGGTGGTTTGCAGGGGTTGAAGTTGGCGTGAGCTCACACAAACACCGTCTCTTGGCCTTGTTCCTTTGGTTGTGCTTGTGGGCTTGGCCCTTCCTGCAGTGCACATCGTGCGCAGGCAGGGTGTCGCCCTGCGTGCCGACAAGGCTGACCTCCCTCCACCTCTTTCTCTTTGTCTTGCACGCTGAGTACGCGCCAAGCGTCGTTTCGTTCTGTGGTGCCTTCAGGTCGCGTGTTTGGTCTGCGGCCGGCTACTTGGAACGTACACTTTACGCGCGGGTTTTGGCCCCGACCTGTTCAAGCCAAGGCGTTTGAGCCCTCCATCAGTCATCCATTGGCTGTCTTATCATCGGCGCGCGTGACTGATCGCTCAACACCGCCAAGCGCCATGGCGGGTACCGATCAAGAGGTTGCGCCGATCGGCGTCGTCGATGTTGATGCTGTGGACACCCCACCAACCCAGGCGATGGGGACGTCAGCACCAGTTGTCAGCGACTCATCGACGGCCAAACCCAAACGTGGCAGTGGGGCTCAGAATCAGGGCCGTTCCATCAAAAAGTTGCGGGTCATGTACGTTCTTTTGTTGCCCTGTCCACGCTGTCCTGCACTCAAGACATTTCTCCGTTGCGCCGCTCGTACATTCCGTGTTGTGTGCGCAATGTTTTGCTGCCCGGTTTGGTTGCGCATTTAACTCGCAAACACGAGGGGTCCATGTCATGCCAACAAAAGCCACTCAAGATTCCTCGATACAACACCATGGCTGCCATGAAATCGCCCACCTCACATGTGAACAATCCTTCTGTTTCACCGGCTCGGCTCGACAGCATCGGGCCGACCGAACCTTCTCTGCAGAGTCGCCGCAAACGGCGCCCAGCAAACCGCAACAGCAGCACCTTTGTCCGTTTTGTCACCTGTCGACTCTGCTGTCAACCTGTGCGTACCCTGTCCCTAACCCCGGCCCTTGCTACGCCCTGCCTCGTGTCCGGATCTCGCTTCTGACTGCGCTCGGACCGCGCCCTCACCTCCCCACTCGCTGCGCAGGAGTCGGAGGAGGCCTGCTTCCTGCGGGTGTATTGCAGCACCATTGACAGCCGCGTCAACTATCGCGTACTGCCCATTGTGCCGCAGACAACGGTGGCTGATGTTCGTTCTAGTATCTCTTCTGCCTTGGTCAAATTGGCCATGCGCTGCGCTTGAATTTTTGGGCGATTGGTGGTGTGCTGTCTCAGTGCTGCGCATCCTCATCCCTCGCGGTGCGGCGTTGCTTACCATGGCGGTGCGTAGATCATCCGGACCATCTTAACCATTCACTACATTGATCCCGAGCATGTGGCTGACTACGAACTTTGTTTTACGCCCAAACAAGTGGGCGGCTCCTCACGCGATCTCTCCCGCGTTCTTCCCATGGATCAAAGCCCCTTTCTCACCAACCTCCATCACGAGAGCGGCCGGTGAGGAAGAGTCACCGTTTTGTGGGCAGATTTGCTTGTTTAGAAACGACAGCTCTGCAGCGGTGTGCCATCGATCAGCTCATCAACTGGTATCTCCCTGGACTAGAATTGAAATTCGTTCGCGCGTCGACTGGCCCAGTATGCGCACCACGGGCATTCCTCAGAGCCTCACGTTAGGTCCAGACCCCGGCTGGTCTCCGACCGAAGAGAACGGATCCCCTCTGCTGTTTAGCGATCGCATCGCCCCCATCCGGAAGCTCAAGTCACAGCATCCGCTCCCGGCGCTGTACGTGGCCCACGACAGCGATACTCCTTTCTTGTGCACCTGGGTTCCATACGTCGGCACTCCTTCTGCTCTTTGCTTTCACGCCTGCTTCCATCAGGTCAGGTGTTGCTCTGGCCGTTCCTCACCTTGTGTTGATGTTGTAGCCCCAATGCTTGGACGTTCTATCCCGACCGTGAACCTACATCCTTTAGTCCGGCATGTGGCGCCCTGTCACCGCTGCTGGCTGTGGTGCGCGACATGAGCGAACCTGCCAAACGCCACGAGCTTCCGACCGGCCAAGCAGACCTGCAAGCCCTCCTGGCAGATGCCGTGCCCTTGACCGACTCGGCCATGCAGCACGTTCAAGTCCTGAACATGGGGTGCGTATGCTCGCTGCACCTCCTCGACATCAGCCAAGCGTCCTTGTTTGGCGTGCGCGCTGTTGTTCTGTTTTTTTCGCAAAGCTCCGGTGACTCTGGACGACCCCGTCTCAATCTTGACGGCAACTCTCGTCTGTTTGTGTGTTTGTTGTTTTTGCGTCTCCATTTGCGCTGCATCTTTTCCACAGGCGTCAGGAGCTGGCATTTGTGGTCCTGCGTGCAGAGGAGGCCGGGGAGCACGAGTGGCTGTTCGTGCCGTTTGTGCAGGGCTTACACGTCGATGATCATGTTGTTGAGGCTCACAAGCCTCTGCTCATGCCCCGGGAATGCGAATTCGGCTTGGGCAATCACGCCGTTGGCCTGTGGTGAGAAACCTCGAACAAAGGAAGGCGTTTTTCGACTGTTTTCTTTTTTTTTTTTTTTTTTTTTTTGGGGGGGGGGGGGTTCACTTGTGGTGCGCCTCGTGCTCACTCTGGGCTATGCGGCATACACGTGCTGACAGTGATCCTTCTAGTACTGGTACCAAGTGTGCTGCAGTCCAAGAGATGCGGTGTGAGGCCGCCGTGCCTTCACCGCCAACAGATGCTAAAGATACTGCTGCTTGGGAAGAATGGTGGGCAAAGCTACACGAATGGCAGACTCTAGCGACCGATCAGCATCGAGCGGCTATGGCTGCGGAGCAGGCTGCTGAAGCACAGCGAGCTGCCGCGCATCTCGAGGCAGAGCGCGGCGCCGCTGAACGGCTTCGCCAGCAGCAGCGGGGCGACGGGGAAGTCCAAGATTCGGCTGACGAGAGCGATGCGTTGGGTGATCTCAATTCGAGCTTTAGTAGTACGACTGGTTTTACCCCGCTGCTGCGCACGGAAAGCCATGATACCATCTGCTCCACGTTGCTGGAGGGGGAGGGTGAAGACGAGGAGGAGCGGCGCCTCACACGGGACCGCTGGCGATTGCTCAACACCAAGGTAAGCTTAACACTGTTCGGGGATGCCCACAGCCTGTGCCTCTGAGCAAGTGTTGACTGATCATGGCGCTCGCTTGCATTGGAACGAACCTGATGACAGGTGTTGCAGCCGTACAAAGTTGGGGTGCAGATGGACAACATGCGCCGCCGCTCATCCCAACAAGAGCCCAAGCAGGAGATTGATGTGCCGCATCTCTCTCGCGTTTGGCACCGCCTCATCAGCATTATCATGGCCGTCGAGAAGGCACGCGCCTGCGACGTTTTGAACCGCATTGATTCAACCCGCGAGGGCAAGTTGACGCGCAAGGACATGTACGCGGCAGCACAGCACTTTGGTCTTGGGTTCTCCCCGCAAGAGGTCAACGCGCTTTTCGATGCACTGGACGAGAATGGCGACAACCGTCTGGATGTGCTTGAGTTTAGCCGGTTTGTCAAGGTGTCACATGCAAGCAGCGACTTCTTCCATGGGCGCCGGGCCAGCTCTCATTACATGATGAATCGCGAACTGCGCTCTCCGAGCGGTTCGCGGTTTGACACGCGGGGATCTCGAGCCCATGGAAGTGCTTCTGCTTCCCCTCGCCCGCCACGCTCCACCTCTCCTCGGACGCGCCGTTCGGCGACTCTTAGCAGTCAGGAGTTGTTCCCCCTGGAGGCCTCGCGCCGTCGAGCTGCGTCGCTGGGCATTGTCCATACCGCAGCCGGGTCTCCTGTTTTTCCGCGCCGAGCGCACTCGAGTGAACAAGTTACTCCGCAGCCGGCGGTTGACCTTCGCCCCGGCTCCACCGATGCCAGCGGGCCCGCATCGGGCGAATCCACGCCGCGAGCGTCCTTGACGGAGCCGGTGACTCTCGATGAGCGGCGGAGCGCGGACGATCCCGCATCCGGCTCCTCGGGTGACCTCGATGCACCCCCCATGTTTGCGTCGTTGGATGGTAGCGTGACACCGCATGCTGGAAGCGTGGTGGATCGAGATTCAGGGGCTAGCACACCCACGCCCGAACCGAACCAGTTGCTAGAGGAGGTTCAAGAGCAGCTTCAGGAAGACCATTCGACCCCGATAGCGGTGCAAGATGACCACAACGAGGATGCAAAGCCCGGCATTGAAGTGTTGCGCATGCCACATCTTGAATTCGACGACCCACTGCCGGTGCGGCTGACGGAGCTGCTGCCAGCGGATGCGCTCCTCACGAGTGAGTTTTAATTGCCTGAGCCGACCAAGTTTTCGAGGTCACGGCTCGCCCTGCCGCGCACGGCATTGCATAGTCTGGGCGTCGAATCCAAGTGAAGCGGCCTACCTGTCACGAATGCGGCGAGCTCGACCTTCTCAGGCTTTGCTCGCATTGCAATCATACCCCTTCCTTTGAGTTGCTGGCGGGGTCTGTTCTGCTTTCTCTGTCCTGTATCCTGTGTTTTGTGCCCTTGTTCTGGTTCATTTCCTGTATCTGTATCTGTATCTGTATCTGTATCTGTATCTGTATCTGTATCTGTATCTGTATCTGTATCTGTATCTGTAACTGTATCTGTTTGCTGCTCTGTTTCGTATGGTCTCCAGCTCCTTATCTATTCAGGGTCGTGTTTGTGCATCTTTGCCCTGGCCACTTTCCTGGCTTGCGGCACGAGCTTCTAATTTATTTTCTTCATGAGGTGGTCAACTGCTCTTTCTCTCTCAAGGAACGATTGTCAGATAATATTTTTCAATGCTTTAAAGGGAAAAAATCAGCGCCAACGCTTTCGTCAACATGTGCAAGCACGCAAGCAAGAATTGGGTTGATGTGGCTGGACCTCAAGGTTGTTCGTTGATCAGGTCACCTTGGGTTCAACGGCGGCTTGTCTTAGCAGGGAAGGAGCAAGCCAACACGCATCAATCTAACGCCTTGCATGTCGTGCATTTTGTGCCCAGCCATTTCGAGCAAGCAAGCTTCAAAGCTCCGCCTTTCGAACCGTTGATTTGAGTTGAGCTTAGGGTCGCTATCAGTAGCCGGGGGCGGACGTATTCGCCGAGCGGGCAGGCAGGACTGGATAAGGGGTGTATGCCCGTCGCGCCGACCAGATACCACGCCAATCGATTTTGACCGGATGGGCCGCGAGCGTGGCGGATCGAGCCCGGGTTGCTTGTACCAGCGGGCTTACCCAGCCTGCCTTGTCCTCAGGTGCACCTCGTGCTCTAGGCGTTGCTTCTGGCCATCAAAATGAGCACGACTGCGGACACCGCAGCCAAAGCTGTGGGAACCAGTGAGCCAGCGCACGAGAACGCACAGCCAGCGACCAACCTTGCGTCCACCTCGGCGCCTGGCGTCGAATCAAGCCCAAACGGTCCAGCAACCTCAACGACAATCGACTCCGATGCGGCATCAGCCACCTTGAACGCTGCCGACGCGATCCACACGCAGCAGGATCAATCTCCGGCAGCACCATCACCAACGTCTGCATCACTCACGCAGCCTGCTGCTGAATCTTCACCCATCACTGACACTCCGCGTGGCCCCGATGCCGCCCCTGCTGCCCAGACAAAGGCCAGCCCCCCAATCAAACCCGCTCAGGCAAGCCCAGCTCCAGCGACGGTCGCAGGCTCACCAGTCGTGACGTCTCCTACTAAACAGGAGCATCATGCCTCTCAGCAAGAGCCAACAAGGCCTTCAGGCCCATCAGGTGCTGTTACTGCGCAAGCCAATCTTCCCGATTCTAGCGCCGTCGAAGCGAGCAGCTCTTCACAAGCGGCGCTCCTTGAAACCGCAACGACTCCTGCAATTGTGGAAACCAATCCGCCGAGCACCGAGCACATGGATGCCGTAAATGACAAGCAAGTGCCAGAACCCAAGGTGGATCAGACGACCTCGCCCAATGATGCCAGCGATGCCAAAGCTAGCAGGACTGCACCTCAGCTGCCGACTGAGGCCAGCCCATCTGATTTGCGCTCATCCTCGGGTCAGCAAACATCTCCAGCAACAGCAACAACGACGAGCCCCAGCTCTGTGCCTGCCAAGTCAACGACACCTTTATCGCCGTCTGCGGCCGACGGAGCGCCAGACAAAGAAACTGCAACTAACATTGTGCCCACCGCGCCCAGTGCAGCCACAAGCGTAGCCACGATTGTGCCCGCGGCGTCCGAGGCCTCCCTCGTCAAGCATCCCGCGACGCAGTTGATGGCTGGGCCGGACATTGCAGGAACTGACTCAAATACCCCCACCGGGGACAACACCCTCACCACCTCTCCCGCTGAACAGTCCCTGAGAGAGTCCGTGCAAGCTAGCATGGCCCAGAGTCTTGCACCCACTACCTCCTCTGCCCAACTAGCTACCAACCATACCACGCTGGGGCTGCCTGATTTGAGCAACAACACTGCAACATCCATCACTGAACCCAATGCTCAGGCTCAAATTCAATCCCAGATGCCAGCTTCGATCCCGACTCAACCTCAAGTTCAGGCGCAGAACCAAGCCCAGATCCAGCCTCACTTTGACCTGCTCGGACCGAATGGTGCGGCCATTGCCGCCGTGGCCGCTGCCAACGGTATCTCCACTCAGCAGCTTTATACCAATCCCATCCTTTTCAACACGGTGTGTACCCCGCCCGTGCTCGATGAATCTTGGTTTTCTTGCTCACTCACCTCGCTGGACCCAACTGAGGATAGATTAGTGCGCTTGCGCTGTCCAACATGTATCAGCAGTTCTCCATGCCCGGCCACAACCCGACTCCAGGCGGGAATGCGCCCTCTTCGCTGAGTGGCATGGGCATGATGCCCACCAACATGGGTGGCTTTTTTAATCCACCCATTTCGAGTGCCAATCACACCCCAACGGGCACGGAGGAGGAGGACAACTCCAAGCCCCGCCGCCCGCGGCGTCTCCCAAAGCATCCAGACCAACGTGACAAGAAGAAGCAACTCTTTCACAACCTGAAAGTGGGCATGAAGGTGAGGTGTTTTGGCTGAAGGCAGCCGCAACCTCAAACCACCGCTGAGCGCCTGGGCTGCTCTCACCGTTGGTCGTATTTGCAAAGGTCATTGTCAGCCGCACGCCCAAGCTGGGCAGTACGGATATCTTAGTCAAGCACCCTGAGCTTGAGGGCAAGGCTGGTCACATCAAGGCCGTGCCTCAATATCCTGCTACCTGGCTCTCCGTGGCCATGGAAGACTCGGGTCGCGTTTTCAAGGTACATGCTCCCTGATTGCGCTTCCAGTTGAGCGTTTCGTGAAGCGCCATAACTGATACTGACCCTTAACACCAAAGATGCGCACGAGCAACATTCGCCTGGCTGACGGCAGCGGTCCCGAGGTCATCCAAACCGAGCGCCTCAACCGATCTCTCTTCTTCAACAAGTTGCAGGTTGGGCCGGCTTTGATGGTGTCTACGATCGTCTGGCCTCTTGCCTGGTCTCGATGTGGGTGTTTGTGGCGCTGATCCTTGCATCTTGGTGATCCACCTGCGGTACCATGGATAGACGGGTGTGCGCGTGTGGGTCTTGGATGGACCCAAGAGCAAACTCAAGGCAGATGCCCCGCCAAAGTCGCATGGCCGGGCCGGTACGATTGTGCGCGCTCCCGTATACCCATCGACCTGGCTTACTGTGAAGCTGGACAAGGAGGACAAGACCATCAAGGTAGTTTGCTGTTTTTTTTGCTCCAACGAAACAGGAGGTGTCCCCGCCTTGCTCTGCCCTAATCAGTCACCATTGATGGGCCGGGGATTTGCCGTGTCTTTTTTCGGCTACCCTTCTCAGGTGCGCACGTCGCAAGTTGCATTCATGGACGACGCCGATGCACCTTCCGATGCCGAGGTCTTGAACGCCCTTCACGCGCAGAAAGAGCGCAGCCAAGGTCGTGCTAAGCAGTCTCGCGATCACGACAGTGATGGTGAGGCGTCGCCCAAGCGCAGCAAGCGTCGTAGCAGCACAAGCGCGCAAAAACGCAAGAGCCAGGTTCGTCTTGATGGCCTTTCTTGTCCCTAATCAACCCGGTCAGAGGAGTAGTAGGCACATGTTGGCAAACAGGTCTTGACCCAGCTTTTTCCGCTTCCAGGATGCCCAGGCTCGAGGCATGATGGCCATGCCGAACTTGCCGGGTGTGGGCGCTGTGCCTTTACCGAGCTTGAATGCATTTGGGGGCATGGCGGTGGATGAGTCTTTGGCTGAGCGTTATCCCACTGCCGATGCGTCGGCTCAGGTATCACCAAGGCCGTTTAATTTTGTCAAAGGGTAATGCTGCAGGCCCCACTGACTCTTTTTCTTGCGTTTAGGCACGCCCTGGATGGCGCCCATCCATCTCAAAGGTTATCAACGATGATCAGCATGCGGCCCTGCCTGAGGGCGGCACAGGCCCGAGCGAGCTTCGCGTGGGCAGCACCGAAATGCGCCGCTCACTTATTCGTGCGTTTGCTTTTCCCCTTTGCCTGTTCGGCTGCCACCCACGCCAATCCCGTCTCAATCCGGGCCTGCGTGGTTTGTTATGGTTTTGTTGTACTGGTCTTCATCTCGTTGTCTCATCCTTTTTTGGGTTTGTCGTCTCGCCTGTGCCGGGTGTTAGGTTCCGCGCGCGATGATCTAGAGGCCGTGCGTATGATCTACTGTCGTGAGACAGTCATGCGCGTACTGCTGGACCATCGGCTGAGCTGGCCATTTATCCTGCCCGTCAGTGAAGCACATCTGGCCGAATCCAAGACGGCTCGTCAGCTCGTGGAGGCATACCAGGCCAACGAACTGCCCAATTTCAACACAATTCGTCAGCTGCTCGAGACGGGGTAGGCATGGCCACGTTGCATATCAATCAGATTGATCGGATATTGCTCCTCAGACGCGACCGGGTTGTTGGCTCATTGGCGTATGCCCGTATATTGGGCGGCTTTTTTTTTTTTTTTTTTTTTTTTTTTTTTTTTTTTGGGACAGGGCGTATCAAGTGCACTCGGAGTTTACGCGTGACCTGCGCCGCCTGTTTGGGCACTGCTATGCGCGGTTTGCGGACGACACGACGTTTGTCGAACTGGTGATTGAGCTTGAGATTGTGTTGGATGAGTACCTGAGTCGCATGCCCAATTCAGTCACCGAGCCTCAGCGTCGTGCTCTGCAAAACCTCAAGGAGGGCCGTTCCGAGCTGGACCACGGCGGCAACGAGATGGACTCGACGAATTCCAGCGTGACACGCTTGGCAGCCGTGCCTTCAGCACGCGGCCCACCCAGTGCCATGATGGCTTTGCAACGAAGTACGGATGACCTACCAACAAACCTTGCAGATCCATCGCTGCAGCAGGTCGTCAACATGTCTGGCGCTGGGGCTGAGATGGTCGGTGGCTTGTTTTCCACCGAGCACGAGCAACTGCCGCCCGTCTTGATTTCCTCGGACGGACATTCTTAAAGATGGTACCCGAGGTGGCTCTCGGCTGACTGGCCATCGAAGCAGTACTATTCTACTGACTCGGCTTGCTTGTGTGGTTTGCTTGTTGTGCATGATGGATACGAGGGCAGAAAAGGGCATGTGATGCCTAGCGTGTGAGGTGTGGATGGTGTATTGAATGGTTTAGACCAAGTCAACTCGTGAAATTGAACGTCAGAGACACACATGAAACAAACACGGATGGGCGGGCCCCATACAGGGTTGGGTCCGCCCTCGCCTTTCCTAATTCATCTCAGTGCCGCCTGATTTGGCCCAGACCTTGACCTTGGTCGGGAGAGTTGAGCATTTTTCTAAAACCTCGGCTAGCTGCGGCGGTGTCAGCATGAGCTGCATGGCCCGATAGGGGTCTGTGACCGGGTAGTTGCGCCCATCAGCGGGGCGAAAAAGCTCCATACTGCAGAGGTGCTCAAAAGCTTTGAGGGCCACGGGCTTTTGATAAAGATCTAAACCACCATCGTGCTGGATGCGGCGCGTGAAAGCACGGTAGGTGTCGAAGATTTGTTCAAAGTTTGCAGAGCTGGCTCCGCGATGCAAAAGCTGGCTATAGGCAATGACCAAGCTGAGCTCAAGGCCGGACGCGGAAAGGAGGAGGGATACACGGGCATCGGCACATTGGGCTATCCGGCCGTCGTACACATGGGCAGCTTCGAGAAAGGGTTCATCTGGACCGACAGCCGTGCAGGCGGACATGGCCACTTGTTGCAGCAAACGAAGGTTGCCGCGGCTGGTGAAGAAGAGCTGTTCCAATTCGCGTCGGACGGAAGCATTGTCGACCACTGCCTCTACGCTTGTGTTCCATTGCTCACGCACAGAAGCTGAAATGGCCGGGAGCGGCTGATATGTGGTCGCAGCATGGGCTGCACCTCTTGGGGCGGTGTCCTTGGCCGAGTCCTTGTCCTCGTCTGGGAGGCGCAAGAGCTTGGCAAAAGCGCTAGCATAGCCGGCAAAATCCCACGTGTGTTGCAAGTGCACTTGCTGGCGAGAGAAGCGGGAGAGCACGCGCTTCTCGAAAAGCGAGGTGACGTCGAGGCGACAGGTGAGTCCAATGACCACCAGCGGAGCGTTGCCGCTCTGGACCAGGTCCAAGAGTGTATAGAGAAGAAGTTGCTGGCTGCTATGGGCATAAAGGTCAATCTCATCGAGAACTACCACGAGACATTGTGAGGTGGCTCGGTCACCGGCCAGAAGGGCCTCGCGCAGGGCGCGGGCCGTCTCGGCGGCGCTGGCTCGAAGGTTTCCGTCGTCGAGGTCATCCTCTGCGTGCAGATCCTCCTGGCGTGCTGCGGCAGCGGTGCTGCTCGAAGCGTCATCGATGGCGAGCGCCCGGGCAATGTGACGAATGGCGGCAGCATCGTCAACCTGAACGAGCGCCGAGCATTCGACTAGGCGGAAACCTCGCGTGCTGGCAGCCTTGTTCGCTTGGACGGCGGCCAGCGCGCGGCGAAGCAGACTTGATTTACCACAACCACGCGGACCAACGACAATAGCACTTTGGCTTGTACCGGCCACGATGCCAGCCGTGAGAAGGGCCACCAATCTTTCGAGCTGAGGTGCAAAGAGGTCCAATGGCTCCTCGTGCATGATGCGTTGGGCCAGACGGGTGCGTAGGTGGGTCACCTGCTCAATCATGGTCGGGGTTGCTGGTGATTCGGCGTCCAGCGGTGTAGCACTGGCCGTGTCAAGAGTGGCATTGGTGCCAGCGTTGGCCTGATCCTCGGCCTCGTCGTTGGCATTGGCCCCGGTGGAGATGGTAGGGGGAGTGCTGGCGTCAGAGGAGGCTGTGGGGGCAAGCGCACGGGAGCGGAGCTTGGCGCGTTTACTGCGGGGAGAGGCCTGGGCATCATCAAGCGAGCTTTGGTCCTGCGCAGCGCCCCGTGCGGTGCGTGGGGAGCCCGGTTTATCCTGCGCATGTTCAAGCTGCCGTGCCAGGCTCCTTCGCCGTGGCGGCCCCATCTTCCCAACCCGAGACCGGTCGTCAAATTCCAGACAGCGAATCAAGTGATGATAACGGAATCAGTCGTGAAAAGGTTGTGACTTCTCTTCCGACAATTAATCATCGCGATACACACAGTTGTCCAGAACGACTGTTTTGTACAAATGTTTTGATTCTGAGATGGCCAGCGTAACGTTCAAAATGACAACAACTCACATGCATGTCAACAACTTACACTAAACTCCTTGCGCGGGCTCGGAACCTGTTGGCGGGGTATCTCAGAACACTCGACACACTTGAAGTCACGAAAATGCATGCGACCTCCCTTCTAGCACGATCTACCCAGCCATGGTGCCTCAAGAAGGACATGGCATTGTGCTTGCGATGAGCTATGTATGGCACAGCCATTCAGAGTGTTACAGAGCACGCCAACTCAAAGGCCCTCTTGCCATGGCGAGACTGTCAGAACTACTGGCGTGCTGATGCGCCTTGTCTGTGCCAATCAAGGAGACTCGACATGACAGCTGTGGATTTTTGGCTCAAAGCTGTATTGAGCAGTCGGCTGCCAGTCAGTCAATCAAGAGCTATAAACACCGTAATTCTGGCCGGGACCTGCGCCACACGCCATGTCCAAGTTTGACCGCGTGCATTGCGAGGTTGATCTCGTCCTGCGTTAGTAGATAGCGCCGACACTGGTGCTCTCATTCTCAGACCCATCGGCATGGAGCTCATTGGGCCTCGTGATTGCGTCTGGCTGGCTGAATTCTGAACGGCATGCCGAGCCTTCTCAGGGTCCAACCTAATCCGGTATGTGTTTCGCTCCGCTTCCAAAAACAGCTGCCTTTGAAGATGCTATTTCTTACCCGATTCATCCTTGATGTTTTGCGTGCGTAGATGCACCGTGTGTGCTCGAGCCGAAGGGGCCACACAACACTTTGAACTGACTGTGGCATTATGTCGATGTTTAGCTTGACGCAAGGCTGATACCACTCATCGACTTCGACTTCGACGAGCCCACTGTGGACAATGAGCGGAACCGGGCCGAGCTCTGGTACAGCCTTGAAGACAATGGCTGTGGTTGGAGCCGTAACGCCCTGAAATCCCAGTGGCCAATTGACATATGAGAACAAATTCATCATCTCTGCTCAATTCACCGGCATTGCTAGCATAAGTTAGGCCAGGACAATCCTGCCAGTATTTCGCAGTCCCAAGAAAGACCAATGTACGATACCAGAGCACAACATTATTGAGTCGGTAAACCCCTGTACTTCGCCCACGGCTGCTCAAGCGCAAGTACATCCATTCTCGAGCTACATTCCAGCCAAGATGGCAGCCAGTGTTCTCTATGTGCGCCCCTTCGAGGTACTATCGCGGTGAAATAGCTTTGAACATCCACAAGGGCCGTTGATGGTGCCTGAGTACACCATCACTTTGGCCCGCATTGACTGCGACTCGAGCCTCTCCTCTTTTGCTCTGCAAGCTTTGCTCGCTTTGCCTGCCCGCGTGTGATGTCACGGGCTGGCGGGGATCTGGATGAGTGTGCGGCGTGAGATTGGGCGTTTTTAATGTCGAATTGCCTACGGACGGGTTGGGTTAGGCTGCACCAGAAGAGGTGTAGTATGATCTCTCTATGGTCAATTCACAAAGCAAACAGAGGGAATAGAAACAGGAAAGGTACTTCTGGTCTACAGGAAAGTGCTTATATGTCGGTGGCAGGAACAATCCCAATGCTCTACAAGCGTCCTTGACGAGCGCTCTCAAGGATAATCAGACGTCATCCTGCAGTGGTTGATAACGATAACCGGGACTCGTATCTTCCAGTGTGTTCCAGCAGCTACTGGGCATACATCCATGCTTGCGGTCCAATACAAAGTGAGTTTATTCAAGCATCAGCCGATGGTTATTCTAGTTCAAGTAGCAACGATGGCACATAGGATGTCGTCGCCGGGTTCAAGGTGTCATCTGTTTGCCTCATGCTCTCAGCGTATCGTGGTGGGTATGTTTGAAGGCCACTGAGGGTTGGCGCGAGCTATTGACAACCCTGCTCAAATTGAAATAGCCATCTGCAAAAAGCCATTTGCAATTTGAAGTGCATGATTACCAGTTCGTGTCATACGCATGGTGCACGAGGCAAGTCAAAAAGACTCGGCACTGTTCAAGAAAACGGACGCATGAAAAGCTTTGTTGTTCGGATACGCGAAGCTGGATGGAACAAGTGCACAAATCACTCACGCTTCAAAAGGTCCTCTTCGCGCTTGAGAATGTGGTGCATGCGTCCAAAGGCGTCTGTGGCTGCGGGCACTTGGCCCTGCTGTTCGGCAAAGTCAACCATATCATCAAACATGGCCAAGAGATCCACCAGCAACGTGCGTGCTGCTGTAAGCGAGATCTTGGGCCGCCTCAATCCAAGGTCTGCGAGCGGCCTTGGTTTGGCTCGCACAGCCACGGCTGCCCCAATTCTCGTCGGACTCTGAAAAACTTTGCACAGCACACCTTCAATGTGCTTGCATGCTCGGGCAGTCTGCTTGCCACAATGTTGATGCCATGCAAATGAAGGGCGCGTACAGGACTTGATTCTGTGAGGCGAAGCTTGGACTATGTAAGGATCGGCATATGGATCACTGGCAGATTGGACCTCAAAGGAGTTTTCTTCAAGCAAGCGAATACTGCCATTGCCATAGACATAGGCGTCACGCCCCTTTCGAATGCACGAGCTGATGTAGGAATCCCATCGAGAGGTCGTCCCCTTGGCCTGTTCTGTTTGAATTTTCACCGTGATCTCCTCAATGTCTTGCTGGAGATGGTAAATTGCGTCGTCGAGGTGCATCACATCTCGTTGGCGGCTCGACTGCGACCAATCCCACTATGACACTCACGCACATTGCCTGTAGGTGTTGTTTGCCAGCCATTGGTTTGCCAGCCATTGAATGTGACAACCTAGGTGCACTTACCTTGGCACGACTGTGGAAACTCTCCACGCTATGGCACAACCCAGTAACGATTAAAGAACGCAGCCGTGAGGTAGGCGCGTTGTGCCATAAGTTCGGCAGAAGCAGGCCGAACCCGGCTCACCAGCGGATCAAGACCGCTGTTACAACATACTAATTGTTCGTGCTACTATAGCCCCGACGACAATATGAGGCCCACATAGTCTAATCGGAGCAAAATGCGCACCCGCCTTCCTCGATGAGCCGATCGTGCAAAATGACTGCGTGCGGCCGAGACCAGAGGGAGATACTCACTTGCTCGCTGTGATAGTTGGTATTAAAGTACGACCAGAAATACTCTACGGGACACGATTTTGACTTGAAGGTGGTGGTGACTCCTCCGTACTTCTCACTGGCGTAGTTATAAAGACTCTTAAATTCAGCCTCGGTGTTGGCGAGGGTCATGTCCTTGAGTGCGGCAAACAAGCCCTCGGGTGCCTTGGGACCCAGTCGGCGATGCCAGGCTTGAAAGACGTGAAACTGGCAATAAAAGCACGCAATTTCTTTGCTGCCGCGCTCCTTACTGAGCAAATCAAAGGCGTCGGTGCAACCATTGATTAGCTTCCTGTCCATGTCCGTAAGCACAAAGGCCGGCAACGGCACTTCAGGGTTAAAGCGCCAGAGCACCTCAACAAATCGTGCGACTGCTGAAGCTGATAGGCCATTGATAAAGGCGTGGCCAATGACAACGCCCCGTCCGGTATTGGGCTCCTCTGTCAAAATCGAGACCTAGGCCGAGTAACGTGAGGTGTGAGAAAAAGAAATGAATTTCAAACAGCCTTCAATAGCGCCGAGCAAACGACTACGCGCCTAACCAGCTCATGAGAGTACCGAGTCATTCCGTGTGTTCCATCCATGTAAATGATGCTGTCCTTTGTAATCAGCTGCTTCATCCAATATCGATGGAGTGGTGACTGTATCACCATCAATTCAAACCCACCCTTGAGAGCCATGCCATCCGCTGAAGGACGCGGTGTCTGAACTGTACAAGCAAACAGACAAATACGAGAAACATGCTTGATAAGCTTGCTTAATAAGCTAGATAAACCAAGACCCAGTGCTTGGCAGACTCGAAAGCTCGGGAGTGACTTTTGTGCGTGTGGGGTGCTTGAAAAGGCGATACGCACGGCGGCGGCCGGCATACACGCAAACGTACGGTTATCGCTGAGTTCTTTGAAGGTTTGACAGTCATGATCGCGCTGCGCATACTGCAACGCATAAAATAAGGAAGATTCAAAAGAAATTCCTGTGAGCATGAGCCAGGAGACGTCATGGCAGTTCCACGTAGCTTGACTGTGTTCCCTTGCGCGTGATACAGACCAGTATGCTACACTCCGTGGGATCGCCTGATAAGCTCTCCGTCACTAGCTGTTGCACAGAAGTGTGATCTTGTGTGGCACGCCGCCCGGCAGTGTCGCGCAAGGAGTGATTGTTGACATCCTTGGCAGAGACAATATAATCTCGTGAATTCTCCGGGACTTGTGCCCTGATAATACGCCTGATGTAGATGCTTGGCACACCCATAGATGACAAATGTGCAATCTCTGATTTGGCCCAGTGGCTGAGGGAAATATTGTGCATGTAGGACTTGTGAGTGTGCTCATCAAAAATCTCCAGCTACACCATCAAGTCAGAACGGCGTATGAGCGATTTCTGTTTGCAGGATTGAAATTTGCAAGCCGGGACCAACCTCAAAGGAGCCATCATCCAGCTCCTGCTGCCACATGTACGCATAGCAGACCACTTTCTGAGATTCTTCTTGTTCCAAAACGCAATCAGGTTCGTCCTCATGCCTTTGGTGGTCAGCAAATGCTTGCTCACTCATCGCCGAGTCATGCTGCCCGTGACGTGAATCAATGTCCAAGTTTGCATGCAGGCTGCTGTTGCCCGCTTCCTGTTCCTGACTCGGCGCTACACGCTGCTGTTCTACACGACGCTTTTCGGGTGGGGGAAGCCCAGTGATAGTACGTTGCCTCGACGGTCAAAGCGACATGCAGAGGAGTTGGAGTACATCTGAATAAAGTCTTTCAGCTCCTCATGCGTATCAAACCGAATCCGATCGATCTGCAGCTCGACCTGGTGTGCTTCTCGCACGTGTCAGACCCAGTCTCGCCGAGACCGAAAGCGCGCTTGACAATTCGGTAGACAAGTCTCCTGTGGCACAGGCAATCGCCGGCACCCAGCTTTTGACACACGATTGAGTTGGCCTATTTTCATCAAAAATCCCACCCAAGAAAGGACAGTCCGTGTGTCATGAGCATCAGTGCATCAGCAGAGGGGAAGCACAAGGGCGGCTTGCTTCCTGAGACAGATAGCTTAACATTGCGCTCTACCTTTGAAGTTGAAGGCCTTGCGGTGTCTGTATCACTGATAGTTGCCCCGGTATTGCTCTGTAGAAATGTGTTTTCGGTTGCTACAGGGTCGAGATTTACCTCTACAGGCTTGGGGTTTGCTATGGGCTTGTCTCTAGCCGGCTTTGGGCGGTATGGCACTAGGGGAGGTTTGTAAGGCGTGCACTTTGCGCGCGATTTGTGCTTACGCAGGGCCGCCGAGTTCTTGAAGCAGCCAAAGCACCGGAGACACTGCTTGCACGACTCGTAAACTTTGCCAAAAGCTGCTACGCCGCCGTCCATGCAATCGTGCGCGGTAGCGCAATGCGTAGCAAAGGGGGCGGCAGATCTTGCAAACCACTCGAAAGTGCAGTCTTCCTCTCCACACAGCATCGTGCTCGCACTTGCGAAGCAGTCTGACAGCCGCTTGCCCCGGTGATGTTGCTCAATGTGCGTTCGCGCTGCGCTGGAATCAGACACCGACCTCCCACAATCTTTGCACTCCACTTTGCTGCCACTTGACCTCTTGCTGGAATGCGAAGTCGAGGTGATGGCATTTTGCTCCTGCGCTGCGGCGGTGTCTTTGCTGCTCAGATCAACAGGCTCGGAAGCCACCAAATGCTTTGCCGTTTTGCCAGTGTGAATCCGGTCAAGTGGTACTGCCAGTGCAGAGGCTGGGGGAGGTCCGATTGCCTGAGAAAGAGTAGAAAACAAGACGCCCTTCTGGTCCCGAGACTCGTCACCATGTTTGGTGGTGACTGCTGATGCCTTGACCGCCAATTGAGACGATTTGCCTTGCGCATTGCTCGGTGCACTCATGGTGCACAGGGGAGCTGTCAAGTATGTGCTGCAACCTCCTTTGCAGAAGTGATTGGGAGCAAAGTGCCTAGATGAAGGCCATCAGTGCAATATTGGTGAGGAACTGATGTAGATTGGATAAATTCACAGGCCGGACTACTTGCTACCACGTGCGCTGGTTTTGAAATCCAGTCGATGCTCACGCACCTGTTGCAGTAGATAGCAAAATGTGCCAACGAAACCTCTCAACGGTGCGAGTACTCTGTGCCGTCGTGCACCTCACGTGGTGCTGAGACCACGGGGCCGACGGGAAGGAATACACCGACTGCGTCGTCTCGTAGATCAAGGCCGCGCAGCGGAAAAAAAAATTGGACCAAGTCTGCGCGCGTCGTCCAGCGAACCAAGAGCACACAAGTCTGACTGCGCCGCCTTCCAAGCTAAGCCTGCACACGTCTGGATCGCGCCGTTTAGCACAGCGAGCCGCACGAGGTAAAAAATGCCGTGCGGGGACGGACGGAGACGATGAAGGGTCAAATGTCATCATTTTTGTTTTCACTTCGACAGCATTTCTCCATAGTTTTCGGCGAATTTCCAGCCTTTTTGGCGCGCTCATTTGTGTATTCGGGCGCTATCTCGGTACTTAGATGCCAGACAGACATGAGACCCGGCTCAAACGATGCGTTGAGTAACGCTCTATCGAACGACGGGCGCATCGGCACTGCTACCGTCGTCCAAGCGATAAATATGAAAGACAACGAGAACGGTTTAATTTTTTTGGAAACAACCAAGCACAAGTTGGATTCACCGTCGCGGGAAGCCGCGTTTCCCGTGTGACATGCGTCGAACCAAAGCCAAGCAGTAAGCTTAAAGTCAAAGCTAAGCGTGACATTCGCCAAGCGTAAAGCCAGTAAGCTTGATGAAGGTCCAAAGCCGAAATTTAAAGAGTTTGTACCCAAGCAATAACATTAAGCTTAAACAGTGGTGTAACGGCTTACTGTGGGGTTTGGCATCTCATGGCTGCCTGCGATAGCCCGCTTGTACAGGGTGAATGGAAAGGGGTGCATGAGGAAGACCACAACGGAGAGGAGCTCTTTTTGACATTCAATTGATAGCTGAGGCGTGCACGGCATGCTGGAATGATGGCCGATTCCCCCGTTGCTCACGACAGGGCAGGACAATCGGGGCTCAAAAAAGCCTCGGAAAAAGCTTGCAAAAAGACGAAGGAGAAACGACTAGCCTAGAACCTGTGCCAGGGATGGTCTGGGAATCTACTGAGGGGGTCGTCGCGAGCAGGGAGCGGGGCGGAAGCCGACGAACGGCGGTTCGTGAGGGGAGATACACGGGCTGAAGCGGGCAGGAGGGGAAAATGCTGCTCCACAAAGGGAGCAAGTCACAAGTAACGGCATTCAAGCTTGACGCATAACGGTCATGGAGAAATGTCAGATTTTAACCCATTTAATCCTGGAGAAAGTCACACCTAGAGAAACTCATTGATTAGTTGTCAGAAAATCTTCTTCTTTTGTTTTCCACACACACACACACACACAGAGAGAGAGAGAGAGAGAGAGAGAGAGAGACACACACACACACACACACACACACACACACACACACACACACACACACACGCGCGCGTGCGCACGCAGCGTCAGTGCTTGTGTTACTGGAGCTGGTCGATGCCAAATGGCTGCTGGTCATGGCGATGCCGGACTGAAACAGCAGGGTCGTATGACTGGCATGGCATGTCGATCTTTGGAGATAGCGGGGCAACCCGTGGACGCGACGGCGTCCTACGTTATCGTAGAACTATGTGCACAACAGTGCATTTTTCTGTTGCGGGTGTGATTTGTTGGTCTCTACCATCACGTCGTCGCTTGCGTCTAGCTCGGACTTGGACACTGATTGTTACCCTGGGGTTTGGACCAGCTGTGTCGTTGTGAAAGCTCCTGCCTCTGCCTCTACCTCTGCCACCCACTCGCCCAGCTCCTACCCTTCGCTTCCCACGACATGCGCGCAGGTCTTCTCGTCTCCATCTCCCTACTCTGTGTGTGTGTGTGTGTGTGTGTGTGTGTGTGTGTGTGTGTGTGTGTGTGTGTGTGTGTGTGTGTGTGTGTGTGTGTGTGTGTGTGTGTGTGTGTGTTTTGCTGTTGAGATGTCATTCACTTTTCTTCTTCTTTGTGTGTTTAAGTGACGACAGCAGTTTTTTTTTTCTGAACAGCGTCTTGTGACGTGACATCGTTGGACGGACGGACAGACGGACGGCAGGTGTGTGAGCTGGGCGGTTTGCGGGGCTGGTATCGGTGTTGGTGTTGGGGCTTGGGTTTGGAATGGCTGGGTGGTTGGACGACGATGGAATGCAAGGAGGGTCGGGGTTTGAGGGCTGGTCATGGTTCTTGGCCGCATTTGCGATGTGCCAGCGGGGCTGGTCTGAGGTGTCCGAATTTGGCTCGCGGCAACAACAAGCCGACGATTGAATACACATTGGTGCTGGTCCTTGAATCAAATGCACGCCTGCTGTTCATCATCCGGGCGTGCCTCGGGTCCTCGGGCAATGTGCTCATTGCTCGGCCAAGTGCTGGGCCGCTGCCTTTGCGAGCACCTTTCTCATGATGCATTTTGCTCATTGCTTTTGTGCAGAGTGTTGCGCGGTGGGCAGCGTAACCCTGGCCTGCAGCACCGTCGACCATGCTGCGCCAACTTGTACATTGCGTGCTGCACGGGCGGTCCCTTCAGGTTCACTTTGAATCTGAACTCGAGTAAGCGACACAAAGGCCGTCCCAAGATCGGTCTTCGCTCGGCCGGCAGGGCAACACCCACTGTTCAACGCCCTGATGTGATGTGGTGCTGGTCGTTTGCTGCACTTAGCTTTCCACGAGCCCTAATCGCGGCTGCACGTGAGCAAAACATCATTTTGAGCAATGCTACTGTCTACTTGCTGCAAGATGGTCTCGAAGTGCGCCTCAACCAGCTCCGAGACGTCCTCAACAAGGTTCTTTGCTCCCACTCGCCCCTCATAACTTTGCACGCTCCCAGTTGCTTCAAAAACTTGTTTGAGACAACCTCCACCGCCTCATCGCTTGTACCTTTTGTTGCCTTTGCCCCCACGTATCGGCAGGATGCCATCCTATTTGCGTACGACCGTCAGCTTTTGGATGGGGGACAGCCCGTCACATGGGATTTGGCTGTCCCAGCCCTTTCTCCTGACACACGTGCCGGTAGGTCTGGATCTCACCGCAGAAAGGCATCTCATGGCTACAAATGTTTCTCCCCCGCCTTTTTTTTCTTGCGCCAAAAGCATGTTTCTGACCCTTCCCCCCCGACTGTTCCAGCCATGCAAAGCAGCACTGTGCCCGTGGACGTCGCATTGCAGGCCGTGGTGGACGAGTGCTCCAGCAGCTTGGCACGCGCCCGCAATATTACATTGCAGCTTCTGGAGGATCTCAAGCTCACCTACTATGGCTTGCAGGCCGCTTTTACCAATGTCAAGCGCTTTCAAACGTACGCATCACTTGTATCCCTATGCTGGCCTGCAGACGACGCCTTCCTCTGAAACACTTTTGGCCCTCTGAAACACTTTTGGTTTTGTAGACAAGTCAAGACGGACCTCGAGCGCATCCAAGGCACCCTCCCAGCTCAAGCAGCACATCTCGAGACGCTACTCAATCGGTACTATGCGCCCCCATCCCTTTTCTCAGCCTTGCACCTGGCGCGTTGCCTTGGCCCACTCGCGCTCACCTCCCGTCCATGTCCTGACGGCGGCCCCCAGCCTTGAGCGATACGACAAGGTGCTAGCAGACGTCAAAGTTTACCCCCAGTACCTTGGTCTCGGACCCATGGCTCCCACCGACCCTACCCCTGATGGTCCAGGTGTGCTCTTCTCTTCTGGCTACGGATGCTGTCATTCTTCTTGTCATGCTGATCCTCTGGCTTGCTTGCTCAACCCCGCGCCCTTTTCTTGTTCTATGTTGGTGTACCCCGGCCCCGCTATCTCCCTCACGTGTGAATGTGACAGCGGCCGTCTCTCTACAGCACGCCTTGGCACTGAAGGGCACCGACTTGCAAGGCCTGCGCCAGCGCATCCTGGCGACCGGTCGGACTGCACTGCAAACGGTTTGTCAGAGCACAAAGCCTTGGGTTGATCTACTCCAGGTGGCTGAATGGCATGGTCGGCGCTCAGTGGTTACTTCTAATCTTGTGTAGATGCAAACTACGTTGGATGATTATACCCAGCGCGTGCTCCAGGCAGCCAAGCCCGTGCAGGAAGAAGTGAATCCCGACTTTCGAACCTTTGGCGACCAGCTGTCTGAGCATCGCAAACGCATCAAGGATGCCTTTGAAAAGCTGGCAGCCGAGCAAAACGAGGCCTTCAATCGCTTTCGCAATTGTACCGTGCCTGCACACGATGATTTAGTTGCCGCCTACCAGCGCCAGCTTCACATCACGGTGCGCCTGGCTTGCTTACGCCTGCTCTTGCTCAACTTTGTTGCCGCGACAACCTTCGCATGGCTCATGCCTACATTCCCTAGGCGCTCTGCAACGAGACGTTGGACTTGCAGAAGCACACCTGTGCCTATGCCCTGGACGCCTTGCATAAAGTGAGTCGTCTCTCAGTAGCTCGATGCCGGTGCCGAGGGGACCTAGCTTTGATGAGTTGGCGCGCCTGATCTCACATGATTTGCTCCGCGCAGATTATCAAGCGCCAGGACACCATGACACAATTTTGTCGTGAGCAGCGCAATTTGAGTATGTTCGTTAGCGATTGGCGCCCAATATACCAGCAGCTCTTGAACACAGGCACAGCCGCTGCTACTTTCCAACTCAACCGTACCGCCGCCCTGCCGCACTCTAGCCTTCTTGCCTCTAGCGCGTCAAGTTCGTGAAGTATCGGAGAGCGCTGCGCGTCTGGTACGCCTGCCTGCCAATACCTTTCTCCTGATGGCCGAGATGCATCGACGCGCAACATTTCGAAACAGCTATACAGAGGTGTGTATTGCTCTGGCCAGTCAGCGACCTGCCTTGTGCTCCCACTCATCTTCATCCGAAATCCCGTCCATCTGATCCTTTGGTGATTGGCGACCCCTTGGCGCCGGCGTGTTCATTTGTTTGTACCGTGATGTGTGGCGATGGCAGGCGATGGAGCAGGCCCAAGCTCAGTTGAATCGCATGCGTGAGCATGAGTTGGCCCAGCGCAAAGAGTTTCACGATCGATATATTCGCCTCATGGAACACTGGCCTGCCGCGCGCCTTCTCACGGATCATCCGAGAACAGTGCGCCTGGTTACGCAAAGCTTTGATGAACAACTCCCCGTCATGGACGTTGAATGGCTGGAGGAGGTGCGCGAGCAGCTGCGCGAGGTGCTTGAGCAGCACGAGTACACCACGCCGTATCCCGACCTACAGCAAGGGCAGCGGCTCTTGCATCCACGTGTTTCAGGCACCGACACGCCTCCATCGACAGCACGGCCAACCAATGGTCCCTCTGAGGTCTTTTCCAGCTCCGTCCCAGAGGCCTCAGTCCAGGATGAGGGCTTGGTGAGCGATCTTCGTGCACAAATATCGGCTCTGCAGAAAGAGGTCTTGGCCTTGCATCTTGAGTGTCATCTTCATAAAAGTGGCAAAAGCCTTTATTCTACCAGCAGCCACCCAGCGTCGCAATGTGACCCGGCACGGCAGCTTTCGCCAATTGCCGAGGCTGACTCGTCACCCCACTCTCCCTCGCCTGCCTACTCGCGCGATGACCGCTCGCCTCCGTCTACCGATGCCGACACCGTTGCCCAGTTGCACCAGGCGCAATCTCAAGTGGCATCGCTGCAAGCACAGCTGGAGGTTTTGCAGGAAAAATACGAGGACTCGCGCGTAAGTCTCTGCCCACTGTCTGGTCTTTCACTCGTTGCAGTCATCATCTCTTCGTCGCAAACTTTTGTCGCTCTACTTTTATTGATTCCCTTTTGCGTGCTGTTGCTCATGCGCATTTCCAATTGCTTGTCGCCTACAATTTCGCGTGGGTTGCGCTGGTACAGCGATTGGCAGAGGCGGCGCAAGATGAGCTTACCCGCAGCGTGCTGCAATATTCGATTGCGCCCGCGGCCATGTCTTCTGACAACTTGCCTGAGACTGCGATGCAGCAGGGCCCGAACAAGCTGGCTCAGAACGATGAAGAGAACGCGACCAGTGATGTGGATGCGGCCGGCCAGGATGAGGCGTCTCTTGCATTGCGATCAAACAAGGCGAGCAAATCCACCTTACAGCCCGAAGCAACGGATGCCGACGCGACTAGCAGGGAAATTGAGGTTTCTGTCCCTGTATTTGCTTCAGCGCGGAGCGACAGCCTCGACCTTGCGGTCGCGGATGACGGTGATGGGGATGGTGACGAGGATCATCTCAGTGACGATGACGACGCTTCTGACGCGGTTGCTGTTAGCAGCGTAGCCAGTGCTTCTGGCGAGGAGAGGCACCCAGTTGTCGAAGCGTCTGCTGCATCTGCCTCGTCGGCTCCGGGACACGCGGCAGAGCAGAAAGACTTGGCGCCTGTGAGCGCAGCCTTGTCTCCCAGCTATCAGCGCGTTAAGCTTGCAATCTACGACTTTGAGGTGTGTCGCTCGCTGTTGCGACTGAGTCTGGCTGCGATCACCGCAGTGAGTCTGTCTTCGTTTGTGCGCCAAAAGGGCTGACTGGTTCCCTTTTGTGGTCTGCTTTTCCCCTTGCTCTTAGGTTGGTGACACGGTCTTGTTCATGGCGCAAAATCACTCCATCGAGTACATGAAGGCTTTCCGCGTAAGTCATTTGAGTTGTCGTTGACCATTCGTATGATTTGGCATGGTGCGATTTGGCTGATGCTCATGTGCCCATCCTTTTCTTTTTTAATTTTTAATTTTTAATTTTTTTGGTTGTATTCGTTCTTTGGTGTGATGCATCATCAACTGGATGCTCATTCAACAGCGGAGCAAAGATGATGGCTCAGAGCCCATTGAGTGTATCTTGACCCAGAGGCAAATGGTGGTTCATGGGGCGCTTCGACAGACGTGAGTCAATGCATGTCTTGTCCAATGAACAACTGGCATCCGTTTCTCATGCGTGTGGTGATGGTGATGGCGTTGGGCGTTGCAGGAAAGACACAAAGGAGAAAAAACTTGTTCATCCGTTTCTTGTGACACGTTTGAAGTGCCTCAGCCGTCCGAAGCAGAGTGACGGGAGTGATAAGTGCTATGGCTTGCCGAAAGGCCGTTGGTTTGTCAAGGCCAAGGAAACGACGATTCACATTCCTGGTATTATCAACCAAAGCAAGAAATAGCTTGTGATTGCCTTTAGCTTTTTTTTGAATTTCGCCCCATCAATTAATTTTCAGTGAGTGTGGGTGGCGTCCATTGCAATTTGTCGGCATCTACAGTGCAACACCATGAGCAATGGCAAGAGCGACGGGGTCGGGCAAAAGCCGGTGCACAAGGAGAGACAAACCTAGGCGGCGCGGCCGCGCAGGAATCTTGAGAATTGACTGTTCGGGGCACACGGCGCGGAAGGCAGAGCGAACAGGGAGGCCAAGGAAGAAAATGAGGCTGGGGGACGCGAGCTGGACCGTCAATCATGTTGTTGGCGCGCCTACCGCCTACCTCGGTCAAAATCACGTATTGGCTGCGCCATTGCTTGATAAAGCCAAGATATTGGAGTGTACTAATCAGGTCTGTGTCGAGGATGCCAGTTGTCTCGCTCATGTCCCGGACTGATACATGCGAGCTATTTTTGCGTTCATGAAGATACCGTACAATGGCCTCGCGCCAATACGAGCGGTAGCTGAGCAGCCCGAGGTCTGACAATGGCTTTTCAGGAGAGCCAGGCACGCCCTCGCGAATTGAAAGAAGGTAGCCTGTGATGCACAGACGCACACACCAGCACGCAGTCAAGGGGCGAGCACGACTTGGGCTAAGAACAGGCGGTACGGGCACAAAGCCATTTCTGAGTTGGATGACGCACTAAATTCAATCATGAGTTTGCCATAACCCTTGCGTTGATGTTGCGGCAGCGTCATGATGCATGAAAGGTTGTAGTTGAGGAAGGATTGCTTCTCCTTTGAGAAATAGCCCACAATGCGGGCGCCATGCTCGGTCCACTCCGTCAGGACGTAGAACCAAAAGGGTTCGACATCCGTGTACAGCGTCTTTGTGCTCAGGAACAGTTTGGACAGGAGACAAAGGTTTTGGCAGTAGACCTGAAAGCGATTACCAGCGACACAGGCAAAATAAAGCTGAGTTTGCGAGAGGGGGAAGCAAACGCGGGCGCTTGGAGGGTCTGGGTGATGCTGAAAGGCACCTTTTCAACAGCCCCATCAACCTCCCAGACGGCGAGGTTGCCTGCGCGATAAATCTCAGCTCCGGGGGGGTGTGGCGGGTGAAAACGATGTGGCCGGAGCTAACAACAAGTGCAGTGGGCATTCAGTCATGAGAGGATGAGGGGGATGAGGGAGGGGCAAGACAGGTGCATGTGCATGGCTTCATTTTCTGACCGCGTGGCGAGTGAGCTGGTTGGCAGTGGCAAAGTATTGAAGGCAGAACTCGCAAATAAAGATTGTTTCGCGCTGGACAAGCTCCTGTTTGCACGATAAGGAAGCGATGAGCACCAGAAGCCGGCAGTACACAGTCAGGGTAGCTGAAACGAGGAAGAGAGATCATAGATGTCACCTGGGGGTAAGGTGACATGTACCAGGCCGGGATCTTGTACGAGCCGATGACCACTGCGGATAGGGCTTGGCTGCAGTATCACAGGCAATCAAAAGGGTCAACGAGCGAAGCAGTGCTGGGTCCAGGAGTGGTGTCTCGGAAGAAGCAAAGCAGAGAAAGAGGGAGGCATGCTACTCTTACGCTTCGTGTGCCCGCGTGCGTTGCACTTCGGATCGTGCGATGGCTGTATCAGATTGCATCGATTGGTGGGGTTAGAGGACATGGGGCGTTGCCAGCGGGGTTTGAAAAGGGTTATCGACCCACCTTTGTCGATCATGGCAGTTGAGGCGAGGCGAAAGAGCTCAGCATCTTCTGTGGTCGGCTCGTGGGTGGGCTAAAGGTGCAGGGTGTGGCAACGGTCATGAACGGCGGAAGCCGACGTAATGATGTGCTGGGTATGCGGGTGAGGGTCATACGTCATTGCGCGCGGTGGTGATGTTGGCCAGGACGCTGTCAAGCTTCGCGTGTTCATCCTTGAGGCTCACGGTTTCCAGTTCATCGTAAACTACATTACCAAGGAGGGTGTGACACAGCGTGGTTGAGACTTGGTGCCAACTATCAGGGCGTCAGAGGGGGGGGTGGAGACTGACCAGCACGGGCCCTTTGGCGTGGCGAGGGTACTTTGATTGGGGATGAATCAGCATTGGTCTAAATGGAGTATTTGACGCCGGCCTTGTGAGGTGTCCCGAGCATGTGATGCAGGATGCAGCAAGACTGCACTGGCAATGAGATCGCACCGATTGTACATCCACAAAGCCGCTTGGGCGATGGCTGGAGCGTGCTGGGCGGCCTTCGCTGTGAACGCGACGCCGAAGCGGCGTGCGCCTTCTGGCGCGATCGACTGTGCGCAAGCGACTCTCAGTTCTTTGGCGAGCAGGTGCAGTGCTGGGTACTGGCCGACGGCTGATATTGCGAGTGCGTGTGGGCGGAGAAGGGTGAGTCAATTGTGGCGTCATCGCGATTACCGAGCCATCTCGCTACAAGGGGGGCGGGGCGGCCGACGCAGGGTGCGGTGGGCATACCCCTTGACGTTGGGGCAGCCGGAAAGCGTAAAATGAGTCTCAAATTTACCCGTGGCATGGCCCCTGCCATCACAGCCTATGCGATGCGATTGGTGGAAGGGGGTGAGGGAGCACGAAGGCGGAAACAAGGAGAGTGGGCGAATGAAGAGGAGGTGCAAAACGTTCAAAAACTTGCCGGGAGTCGGGCAGCCACTCGAGTTTTTGGGCGTGCCCTGATGAAGTTTCAAAGCGTTGGCATCAAGTGTCATTGTGCCAAGGGCATGTGGCAGGATGAGATTGTGCACGGGCCCGAATCAAGACGATCATGATCCTGACGAGGTCATGAGAAGTCCCGTTTGAGAGATCGATCGATTCTGGCAAGCTGTCGTACCTTGGGCATCGTGACTATCTTGACCCAGAATCACAGCAGACCTGCCTACCTAGCCTCAACTACCGGCACCCCGTCCCTGCCCACCTCCTTCGGCTCTGCCCGATACAGCAATGACCTCATCGATCGAGCCAAGATCCGACAGAGCGACAGAACGACGACAGAGAGAGAGCGAGAGAGAGAGCGAAAGAGAGAGAAAAAAAAAAATAAAAAATAACCGTCCAAGTGGTAGTGTGATATCCATCACACTTTATCCTTCTATGAGCCCACATGCTTGTGTATTGCTTGCATTGTCTCTCTCTACTGTTGTTCGAACATGCAGTTGTTCTTTGATGTTCTTTCTTTTGTGCAGAGAGAGGTGTGTGGGCGAGTTGGAGAGACAGAGGGAGCGATCGAGAGGTAGTGAGATTCAGAGAAGGAGGTGATTGTGGAAAAGGTGACCATGTATAAGCGTACAGTGAAGAAGAGATTGAGCAGCAATCAAAGAGTCTTTCAGGGATACTTTGTCGTCGCGTTGAATGTCAAAGAGGTACATGTAGGAGTAAAAACACCAGCAGTTCTTTGTATTTTTCATTTGTGCCTTGTTTGCGGTAACAACTCTCGCTCTCTCTTCTGTGTGTGTGTGTGTGGCCATGTGTGTCAGCTGGCGGTCAAGGGCAGCGGGGGTGATGGTGCAGAAGGGAGAGGGAGAGCGGTCTTGACTGGGAATGAGGAGGGGCGAGGTCAAGGGCAAGGGCAGGGGCTTGGCCATTGGCGTGTGTCGAACCGCAGGCATGGGTTGATATGGGTGTGGCATGTGTGGGAATGGAAAAACCACGCCGCTGTTCATCACTGGAGCGGATTGCGCTGCTGGTTATGCCCTCGCGCGCCAACTCTTGCACCTTGACTTACGCCAAGTCTGGTGAATCCAGGGTGGGGCGGAAGGACAGGGGGAAGCAGGGGAAGGGTGTTTTGGGTTCTTGTGGGCTATATGCGTGTCTCGTCGTTCTGCTCATTGGCCGAGCTTGTCGTCGTTTTGCCAAAGTCGCCACGTGCTTTGCTCCGACGCGTCGCCCTGTCTTCGCCTCGCACGACCACCGCGAACCACTCATGCGACTGACTGATGCGGCATGCATTTCCCCTCCTCTTCTCCTTTGATGCATTTCTTTTCTTCTTAGATACAGCCATGGCGACCTTGGATCTATCAAAAGACGCGCCAACGGGTGAGTTGCTCGATGCCGTGTGCAGGGCAATGCGGGAGAACTTCCTGATGCCATCTCACGCATGCCTGCACCTCAAATGCGATCCGGGGTACAACAGCGCTACTGATCCTGGGACAGCACCTGGGCAGCAAGATCACCGTTAACAAGGGTGCCAAGTCGACCGCCTTCAACGCCGAGTGAGTCAAATGTGATTGGCTGGATGCGCCATGCGACCCGGCCATGGCTCCCCTTGGAAGTTTGCATGCTAACGGCATGATGGTCTTGTTCAACTCGCAGCGGAGCTTCCTTCTCAAAGGTGCCTACTGTCATCAAGTGCCTCGGTCGCTTGGTCGAGCCCAAGCTTGGTGGCACCACCCCCGCTGAACAGACACAGGTGGATCACTGGGTAGATGTCGGCATCAAGATTGCCGGTACCAAGCAGGGCGATCTGACCGCACAGTTTAAGGAGCTCGATGCCCACCTTGCCCGTCGCACTTTCTTCCTGGGCAATGAGCACGAGCCCTCGCTGGCCGACGCAGCCATCTTTGGCGGCCTCACCGATTGTGCCCTGTTTCATCGCGCGGCTGGTGAGCTGGGTCTGAAGCATTTGAACCGCTGGATCCAGACCTGCAGCACCCAGGCTGCCTTCCAAACTGCATACACTCAGCTTCAAAAGGCCTTGGCCGGTGGTAACAAGGGCAACGCCTCCAAGGGCCGCGCCGAAGGCAAGGGCAAGGGTGCTGCCAAGGACACGCCCCGTGTCAAGCAGGCCGATCAGGGCAAGTTTGTGGACCTCGAGGGCGCCGAGGACGGCAAGGTCGTGACCCGTTTCCCGCCCGAGGCCAGCGGCTACCTGCACATTGGCCACGCCAAGGCTGCGCTGCTGAACGAGTATTTTGCGCGCAAATACAATGGCACGCTTCTCATGCGCTTTGATGACACCAACCCGGCCAAGGAGAACGCCGAGTTTGAGAAGGTACCCGCTGCGCTCATTCAACGCCCCCACATGTCAACAATGGATCGCAATTTTTGTGCACCCTAAAATTTGCATGGCCTCGATCCCACCGCTACACGGTGGCCAGGACTTTTGATTAGCCCACTTGTGTGCTGACCCAACCGTCACCCTCTTGTTCAAAATGCGATTAGGTGATTCTTGAGGACCTGGAGCTGCTGGGCGTGCGCTACGACAAGTTTAGCCACACGTCCGATCACTTTGATTACCTCATTGAGCAGATTGAGAAGATGATCAAGCTGGGCAAGGCTTACGTCGATAACAGCCCCAAGGAAGTGATGGCCGAGCAACGCATGAACAAGCAGAAGTCTCCTTGCCGGGACCACTCGGTGGAGAAGAACTTGGCCATGTGGGAGGAGATGAAGGCCGGTACCGAGCTCGGTCAGCAATGCATTGTTCGCGCCAAGATTCGCTACGACGATAACAATGGTGCCATGCGTGACCCGACCATGTACCGTTGCAAGCCTGAGTCACACATCCGCACGGGGACCAAGTACAAAGTCTACCCCACTTACGATTTTGCTTGCCCCATTGTGGACTCGATCGAGGGCGTGACGCACGCCCTACGAACCACCGAGTACCACGAGCGTGACCCCCAGTACTACTGGGTCTGTGATGCGCTTGGCCTGCGCAAGCCCAAGATCTGGGATTTTAGCCGTCTGAACATGGTCAAGACGGTCATGTCCAAGCGCCAGCTGACCGAGTTTGTCAAGCAGGGCATTGCCGACGGCTGGTCCGATCCTCGCTTCCCCACTGTGCGCGGCATTTTGCGCCACGGCATGACCCTGGAGGGCCTTCGCAACTTTATTCTCATGCAAGGCGCCAGCAAGACGGCCGTGCAGATGGAGTGGGACAAGATCTGGGCCGTTAACAAGAAGGTGATTGACCCCGTGGCTCCCCGTTTCACGGCGCTGGAGCAGAAGGACCTCGTCACCGTGTCGGTGGTCAATCAGAAGAAGGTGGACGCCATTGAGGTGCCCCTGCATCCCAAGAAGCCCGAGTTTGGCTCGCGCAAGGTCGTGGTCGGCCCCAAGATCTTCCTGGAGCAAGCCGACTGCCGTCTCATGCAAGAGGGGGAGAAGGTGACGCTCATGAACTGGGGCAACGCTATTGTTGAGAAGATTGAGAAGGACGGGGAGACTGTAACGGCCCTGTCTCTTCGCGTGACTCCCGAGGACACTGACTACAAGAAGACGGCCAAGTACACCTTCCTGGCGGCCGGCGAGGCTGAGGAGTTGGTGACCATCAAGGCCATGGAGTACACGTACTTTATTGACTGCAACTTTGTGCCCAAGGGCGAGGATGTGACAACGCATTTGGTGGACAAGAGCGAGTTTGAGATTGATCTGGTGGGCACGGCCCAGCTTGCTGAGCTTCAGCCTGGTCACATTATCCAGCTCAACCGCAAGGGCTTTTTCATCTGCGACAAGCCCTACCACAAGCTGCTGGAGAAGCCCCTGACGTTGATCTATATTCCGGACGGTCACGAGAAGACCTTTATCGCACACCGCGAGGGCGAGGATATCACGACAGTGTCGGCTGATGAGTACAAGGCACTTGAGGACCAAATCACCAGCCAGCACAACGTCGTCACGGACATGAAGAAGACCAAGGCTGACAAGAAGGATATCAAGGCGGCCGAGGCGCGCCTCAAGGAGCTGCGGGCACAACTCGAGGGCATGGTATGTTTTGGTTTGCTGGGCACTCTTGTCCTTGTGTGGTGGCGGGCCTCACCTTTGAGATCCCTGTCCTAGGCGGTCAAGGGCGGCAAGACAGCTTCCTCCGCGGTCCCGGCTGCGGCAGCGGGAGCCGTTGACACCGGTACGAACCGCGAAAGATGTTTTACCACTGAAAATGCTGGTTCAATGTTTTGTTGTTGACGTGGGTCTCGCTGTTGCCCTTCTTCACTGGCTTACTTTTGTGTGGGAGTCCAGCTGAGATTGAGAAGGAGATTCAGGTGCAAGGCGACAAGATTCGTGATCTCAAGGCGAGCAAGGCCAGCAAGGATGAGCTGAAGCCCTTTATCGATCGTCTGCTGTCGCTCAAGGTACCACGACTTGGTGCCCATGCCCCCCTGGCTTGGAGGTTTCAACAGGCACACCCCAGGCTGTTTGCTGCTGTTGATGTTGCTCATTTCATTCGGGGTGGCATCATTGCTGTCTGGGGCAGGCGGAGTTCAAGCAAGCCACGGGCCGTGACTTTGCTCCTGCTGCCGCCGGTGGCAGCAAGAAGGAGGCCAAGAAGGAAGGCAAGAAAGAGACCAAGAAGGAGGCCAAGAAGGAAGCGGCTCCTGCCGCTTCTACCCCAGTCCAGACCTCCGCTGGTAAGCTCTCAAGACGCGGCTTGGCACGTGCTTGCTGGTGTTTGCTCGCCTGGATATGCGGAACCTGATGGACGTGGATGAATCGGTCGGTTTTAGCCTCGCCCGAAGCAGCTGCGCTGTTGGAGGCCGTGGCAGCCCAGGGCAACCAGGTCCGTGAGCTCAAGTCAAGCAAGGCTGACAAGGCGCTCGTCGATGAGGCGGTCAAGCAGTTGCTGGCACTCAAGGTGGGATTCACAACCGTCAACCAGTCCAAAGTCGACGAGGGTGTTTTTGGTCCAACATCTTCTTACCACTTCTTTGTCGCATTTTTTTTCTGGTTCATTTTTGGGGCTTGTCGTTGAAAGGCTGAGTACAAGACCCTGACGGGTGAGGCCGTGCCTTCGGGTGGTAACGCCCGTGACAGCAAGAAAGAGAGCAAGCCTGCCGAGGCCAAGAAGGAGGCCAAGAAGGACAAGAAGGAGGCCAAGAAGGACAAGAAGGAGGCCAAGACTAAGCCCGTGCAAGAGAAGGGTGAGTGGGGTGGATGTGTCTATTGCCTTTTTCTGATCTTCCAGCATACAACCACATTTTGCTGATTCAGAGTGTCGCCTGGAACGCAGGCAAGACTCGCTTGGGCGTTGAGGCCCCCAAGGCCACCGATCTCTCCGCTTGGTATTCCGAGGTGATCATCAAGTCGGAGCTCATCGATTACTATGACGTATGTGGGATTCTCGTGCTCTTTTGTTTTCCTGTGTTGTTTTTTTAACCTTTTGAACTACTTTCTGAGTGGTCCGATTCACTTGGTTTGTTGTGCGTGCGTGCGTGCGTGCTGGTGTGTGCGGGGGATCGATGTCGAATAGGTGAGCGGTTGCTACATTCTGCGCCCTTGGGCCTACAGTGTGTGGCAGTCAATCCAGGAGTTCTTTGACCGCGAGATTCGTGCTCGTGGTGTGCAAAACTCGTACTTTCCCATCTTCGTGTCGCAAGCGGCTCTCGAGCGCGAAAAGGTGCGTCCCTCGTGCTTGCACATTGAGTCTGTTTGTCTCTATTGTGTATGCATCGTAGTATTCACGAGCCACCCTTTCTTTTATAATCTTGGTCATCCAGGAGCACATTGCGGACTTTGCGCCCGAAGTCGCTTGGGTGACTCGCTCGGGCGAGTCTGAGTTGGAGAAGCCAATCGCCGTGCGTCCTACGTCCGAGACTGTCATGTATCCTGCCTACGCCAAGTGGATCCAGTCGCACCGTGATCTGCCCCTCAAGGTTTGTGTGCCCAGGAGCAATGGGAACTTGTTACGGTGGCTTGCTGTATGTCTGGGCGGATTGGTTTGATGTGCCGTCTCATTGCTGAAACATCTTCGCCTGCCGCCTGAGAACAGCTGAATCAATGGTGCAACGTCGTGCGCTGGGAGTTCAAGCAGCCCACGCCCTTCTTGCGTACCCGCGAGTTCTTGTGGCAGGAGGGCCACACTGCTTTTGCCACCAAGGTATGCATCCTTATGCAGACTGCTTGCTCGCCTGGGCAAGCATGCGTCTCGTCTCGGTGCTGCGTGGAGTGACGTTGAGTTTCGATCGATTTGTGCGCAGCCGGAAGCCGATGAGGAAGTGCTGGAGATTTTGGAGTTGTATCGCCGTGTCTACGAGGAGCTGCTAGCGGTGCCAGTGGTCCCGGGACGCAAGACGGAGAAGGAAAAGTTTGCGGGTGGTGACTACACGACCACCGTGGAGGCGTATATCGGTGCCAATGGCCGTGCCATTCAAGGTGCCACCTCGCACCACCTTGGTCAAAACTTTTCCAAGATGTTTGGCATCAAGTATCAAAACCCTGATAAGGTATGCCCGGTCGGGTTGGCGCCCCTCCATCCGTGTGCAAGAGTACTTGTCGCTCATGATTGGTGGGAATGGTGGCGGGTGACAAAACATGACAGCACGACGAGTTTATCAACGTGTTCCAGAACTCGTGGGGCATCACGACCCGCACGATCGGTGTCATGATCATGGTGCACGGTGATGACAAGGTTTGTTGGAGCAGAGTGTAGCTGGCTGGCGGCGTGCCTGGGCGACGCACAGATCCTGACGTGAGCCACGGGCTGGCTTCTTGTGTGCAACAGGGCTTGGTGCTGCCTCCTCGCGTCGCAAGCATTCAAGCAATCATCATCCCCACGGGCCTGAACAGCAAGACGGATGAAGCCACGCGCGAGGCCGTCTTGGCTGCCTGCGAGTCTGTGAAGAGTACGTATTTTTAAGGCTGCGCGCGTTTGTGTGAGGATGCGTGAACAGGGCTGATGCGTTGACGTCTTGTCTTTTTCGCCGACCTGTGCGCGTGGCGTGTGTGCCTTTTTCTTAGCCCGTCTCTCGGCTGCTGGTGTGCGTGCCGAGTCGGACGTGCGGGATCAGTACTCGCCCCCGTGGAAGTACAACCACTACGAGCTCAAGGTCAGGCCTCGTTGTCTGTTAAAGCATTGCCGTAGCGATCGGGGACTGTACCCAAAGGCTCATTCAACTCCTTTCGCTGTCCGCGTAGGGTGTGCCATTGCGTATTGAGCTTGGTCCTCGCGACCTCGAGAAGCAGCAGATTGTTGTGGTGCGCCGTGTGGACGGCGAGAAGAGCACCATGGCCATGGCAGATCTGGAGAGCGCCGTTCCGGTATGTTGCGACCCTTGCCTCGCTTGACCTTTGCAGAGCCCCCGCACGCCGATGTTGCTTGACCTTTTTTTCTTACCTTTGTCGATCCAGGCGGCGTTGGATGCTGTGCACGAGGCCATGTTCGCCAAGGCCCTGGCGGAGCGGGATGCTCACCTTCAGCAAACCGAGAGGTACGGGCATGTCTCCGCGCTACACACAGTGGGCAACGGGGCAAAAAACAAACAAACAAAAAAAAAAACAAAAACATAAACTGGTGGCTTGGTCTTACATGGACACCTCTGTTCGGCCCCACAGCTTTGACAAGTTCAAGGCATTGCTCGATGACAAGTGCATGGTGTTGGCACCTTTTTGCGGGGCCAAGGAGTGCGAGGAGAAGATCAAGGAGAGCTCGGTCAACTCCAATCCTGGTGCGTGCATGTCCCGTTTGTTTCCCATCGACGAGGCAGCAAACTAACGTAGAGGGTCGGGCAGCTGTCTGGGGGGTTTTTTTTTTAACCCTTGATTTTGTTATACTTGCTTCGCCACGACCGACAGCCGATCCCACGGCACCGGCCATGGGAGCCAAGTCCCTTTGCATCCCCTTCAAGCAGCCCTCGGATGCCAAGGGCAAGAAGTGCATCTGCCCCGACTGCGACAAGCCCTCTCTCTACTGGGCCATGTTTGGTCGTTCCTACTAAACGCCTTTTCTTTTGCGTTGGTTGGCCTGTGGAAACAGCTCTTTCTTGTTTTTGGCGTCAAGTCGCTCTTGTGGCCTGGACATGCATGATGTTGTGGGGATGAAAAAGGGAACTGGCCCGTTGCTCTGATCATGTTTTATGCCGTCTACCCAATCGACGTCGCCTCTTTGTGATCTGTGACGTGACGTTGAAAGATGCGATGATGGTGATGACAATGCGCAGACACAAAACCGGCTTTTCGTCCACCCCCGGACAACCTCTTAATGACCTCTTAATGACCTCCATACAACCCCATACACGCCTCGACCCGACCCCCGTACCACCTCGAACCAGCCTCGTGCCGCCCAACATGGAGGAGCATATTCTAAAATTAGGCGATACACCCCGAAATAGCACACTTACACCACGTTGCACGCGACAGCTACATGCGCCCCATTTCGTTGGATTTTTGAGATTTCGCTGCAGTTACACCTTCTGCCCTTCTCTTCCCCCTTTGGCATGATGCAGGACCACATCAAGCCACCTCACATAAGGAAGAAGAACCAGTCTCAAGACCGGTTTGCCTCTGACTTCATGACCAAACGTTTCAACGTTACACACCAATTACCCGCCCATCGTGTTAGTCACGTCTTTCCCTTTGTTCCCTCCCTCTCTCTTCTCTCTCTCTCTCTCTTTCTTTGAGTCGGGGCCGCAAAGGGAATGGTTCATTTTCCTTTCTTGCACCCCACGTTGAGCTGATTTGTCATTCGTTGTTGGACCGGTTCACCATGGCCTGCTAACGCGCTGCCACTCGCTTTTCCTTGCGCGCCTCCTCCCTGAGCATTGTTCCCCCTTTCCTGTATTGTATTGTTTGCTTGAAACACTTACATACACGCTAGTGTGTATTGGCCCCTGCCGTTTTGGTTTTCAAGATGCTGCTCTAACATCTCGACTTTTGTTCTAAAGGTCATCATCTCCTCAGTACGTTTCAACGTCGTCGTTTGTGCGTGCTCTTGTGTGTGGGTGTGTGTGTGTGTGTGTGTCGTGGCGACCGCCTGCAGCTGCAGTGCACGCGCCATGCGCTTTTTTTTTTTTTTTATGGGAGATCTGGTCCTTGTTTGTATCGGCTGTGTCGTGGCTGCTCCCTCTCTTTCTTTTGCCATTCTGTTGACTGTGTGCGCATCGCCTGCAGCTCACCGGTTTGGTCGCACTGCCCTTTCTCTTCTTGGCGACTCCACCCCGCTGCCCTTTTAGACGCTTTCCGTTTTTTTAGCTGCTAACGTAACCCAGTTCCGATAACTTCGTCAACCGCCATCATGGCTTCCATCCCTGCCCTAGCTGCTTTGTCTTCTGCTATGCGACGAACTTCGTCTGACGCCACATTGTCTTTTTTGTCAACCCTGAACAACCGCCAAAACTCGTCCGAGTCACTGCAAGAGCTCGACGTGCCTGTCCTGCGTGGTCCTGGATCACCTTTTGGTTCTGGTGCTAGCCTTGACCTGTCCCGCACCGCCGGTCTCCTCGATAGCTTCTCCGGTCTTGACGATCTCGACTTGAGCGCCTTTGACTCTGATACCGACTCTGCTTTTGTTGCTGCTGCCTCGGCTCAAGTGCCTTTGGCCCCGACCACCACTGCCACCTCAGCGCCCACACCCGCTCCCCTGAGCGCCGACAACGCCAACAGCATCCTCAAGCTGTTCCAGTCGACCCTAGCTGAACCCGGCTTTGACCTTGAGATGATGCTTGAGGCCAAGCAGGTGGACGGGGGCATCCTGCCCCCGCCCGCCACCACCCTGCACGAGGCTTCAACGGCCGCCAGCGCCAGCGGCGTCACTTTTACCGTCGGTGACCCGGAGCTGGACCAGCTGCAGCCGTTGGAGTACAGTGACTGGGATAGCTCCAGCACTGGACTGAGCCCGTCACAACCCGCCTCTCCTGTGGAGCAGACGCAGTCGACACAGCAACACCAATCCATGTACGGCGCACCCGTAACCTCGGCCATGGTCACCGGTAACGGCAGCTTTTATGGTCTGCTGGAGACGGAGGGCGATCACATGATGCCCCCGGTCTTGCGTTCACCCATGGTGTCGTCAGCCTTTCTGCGCGACATGGAGCAGGCGCCTCTGACTTCGTCGGCCTCACTCGCTCGTTCGGACCGCATGGACGCTAGCCTCGAGCGCCTCCTCGATTTCGACTCTGACTTTGACCTAAACTCACTCATCGCGCCCGCCCGTTCCCCCGTCGTCACATCCACGGCCACTGCGCCTTCGGCAACGGCACCGGCACCGGGCTCACTTCGTCCCTCGCAAACGACCACCACGCTCTGCGAGCGGGCCATGGCGCGTGGCTCAGGGCAACAGCCGTCCAAGACTCATGAGGACGTCGTTTCGACCAGTGCTGCTACTACCCGTCCCATGCTGTCATCCAAGGGCAAGATTAAGACACAAAAGGAGAAGCGCTTCACCATGCGTGAACTGGATCAGCGCAACGAGCACTTGCGGCGTCACATTGACGAAACCAAGGGCGCTGTCTCGGATGCCCTTCGTGTCCTCAACCAACTGTGGGCCAGCGGCAAGCTTCCCGGCTTGTAACCCGTCCCTCTGTTCTGTTCAGTGTGTATCATGTCTGTCCGTCTGTTGTACGTGTGTGTGTATGCGTACAAAGTAGCATCAGCTTTCTCTGTCATCTTTCCTGTTTTTGCTCAGGTGGAATAAAAAAATCTTGCGAGTCTTTTAAATTTCCTTGTTCATCCTTGTCGTGTCATGTTCTTTTTTTTTTTTTTGATTTGCTTCGTCATCTTGGCTGCTGGCGAAGCCTGAAATTTGTTCCTTTTTTATCCCGCCTGACACTGCGTGTCCGCCTGTGCTCGTGACCAGCTCCGCGTTCTATTGCTTTCTTACATAGCGCCCTCAGAGGGTTTGTTCTCGTCTTTTGCGTGCTGCCATTTCCGGCAACTTTAATCTCTTGAAGATGAACCTGAATCCATTGTCATCTCTCTTTAAGTCTTTCTTGAATAAAGTCATCCCAATGCGCACTACTCTAGTCGAATAGACTTTAACTCGGCAAGTGTCTGCGCACAACTGCAAAACCACTGCAAGAGGGTGTGTATCTGTCTCTAATTATGTGATTGGTCATTTTTGCACAGCAAAAACAAAGAGAAAAGGAATAAAGAGCGCATAGCAAGGAGTCAAGAGGTCACACAGGGTGCCAATGAAAACAAAACGAAACCAATGATTGGCATCCTTAGGAATGCATGGGCTTGCTTCGCTTGGGGGGAATAGTCGACGTGAGGGGGTGGACTTCGCGTTCAGGCTCATCGTTGTCCGTGTCCATTTCGTGCTGGCGCTTGCCCCCGGCGAACATGAAAAGCTCCTGCCAAGACGGGCTGGCCTGCTGAAGGCTGCTCGCACTCCGACTCGCCTCACACGAAGGTCCTGCTGAGCTTGCACGATCATCCTCGCCCGTAGCCCCCGGCCCGCTGGCTGAAGTTGGTATTGAGGTGGCGCTCGAGTCTTTGGCAATGCCGTGATGGTGCCGCACTACGCCCGGCTCGGCGCTTGGGCGTGCATGGTGCCGATGGTCACGTGCTGCCGCATGCCCACCCGGCCCGTGTTCGGTGGGGCTGACTGAGAGGCTCTGGGCAAAGGATGCCAAATCCTGCTCTGGCAATGAAGCCAACCTGCAAATCCCAAAAGTCCAACGAGACAAGAGCAATGAGAAAGCACTGCATTTGGAGGGCAAGATCGCAGAAAATAGAACAAGACGCTGCACGCTCAAGCTCAAAGGCCACCCTCATGGACACGGGGCCGCCAGTCTGTCAAAACGTACGAGATGGAGCCAAACTTGGCGGTGATCTCGGCCGCAAACTGTTGCAGAGTGTCGAGGAGGCCCGCGAGGTCAAGCACCCCAACGAGGCGGCCACTGGTGCAGTCACCTAGCTGCAAGATTTCCGCCAGCGCATCGCGAAAGCCCGCCACAAAGGCCAGCCGAATCTCCATGGTGCGGTGCTTGTAAAAGTGGGTCAACCCCACCGTGGCCAGGCGAAACTCGGGGTCGACATACATGGAATCCACATCCTCCCAGCCCGTGGCGCGCGGACGCAGCGGTGAGAGCGGTGGGAGATCTGGTAGCTGCGCTGGTGGCATCGGGGCTCGTGGCATGGTCGATGGAAACGTTGCTGCTGGCCCTTGGGGCAGCGAAAGACGCGCATTGGTTGCAGACATGCCCATGCCCATACCCACGTCCATGCTGGCGGTTGCGGAAGCTGATATGCCCGCCGTCGCCGTGCCGGAGTGTTCGGCCATGTGCAAAAGTTCATGGCAAAATTCAGACAAGGTGGCGCGAGACACTGCGCCACGCGGCAAGAGGCTTCGCAGCCGTGCACTCAGGGCTTCAAGCGCGGCCAAGGACCCCTCGATTTTGGCCCGTCGGCACCGATGTTTACATCCTATTGACAAGCGCATAAAGGTGAGCATATAACCTCAAAGGCCTCGAGCCGGTCGCCAAAAAAAAAAAAAAATGGCGAGGCGCAAGACACACGGCCTGGTGGGGTGCATGGGGAGGAGCCAGCGACGGCACGCACTTGAAAGGATGGGGCAGATAACCTCAGCAAGCTGGCGAAAGGCCGTCATCACCTCGGGGGTGGCGTCCCAGCTTGGATCATGCATGCTGCGAGTAGGAATAGCGGCACTGTTGCAAGCAAACCGCCAGCTCCCGGGCGCTCCGCTACCCCGGACCTCTCCGCTGGCCATGGCGGCCTTGTTGCTGTCGGTCAGAAACCCGTACCTAGCTCAAGGCCCCGTGGCCAGGCCTGTTTGCACACCAGACACCCTCTCGAAACGTGCCAACACCGTCGCAGCCTCTTTCCCGCTGCATTCGCGCTCCTTCTCACGTCCAATGTGCAGCAGCTGGCAGCCAGAGCAGAACGGTTCCAAGCCGCAAAAGCTGTGCGCGCGCGCGTGTCGTCGTCGTCGTCGTCGTCGTCGTCGTCGTCGTCGCTTTGTTTTTGTCTTTTTTTTTAATTTTTTTCTTGTTGTGGAGCTGTGTGTTTGCAAATTGAATCACCAGCACCATGGACCGTGACATGTTCTCAATAAACCGCTTCATCTTCTCTACAAGTTATATTAACTCTTTCAAAGCAAAAGCGTGAAAGTCTGCATCTTCTACCGAAATAACTTCAAAAACCAACACCAACTCAAAATTTCCCAAGCTGATCAAGCTCCCACGCTTTGGTTGAAGCATAGTGTGATAAAGCTCACACTTGACCTCAGGGACCCTGGTATTAAGAATGGAGGGGTGTTAATCTTGGCATAATTTAAAATCGGGTCGTGCCGTGAGCGAGTGAGCGAGTGAGCGAGCTGGTCCGTCACCCGTGCTGCGCTTCCTCTTCTCCCTACTGCTTTGCGTGTGCGTGTGCGTGTGCGTTTGCCTGTGCCTTTTGGTGGTGACCGTGCTTTGTGTCTGCCTCTGCCTCCTTGGCGTCTTTTCCCTCGCTCCAGTGGTGTTGCCTCCCGGTTAACGTCCCCCTCTTTATGATTAAAAATTTTTTTTTTTTTTTGGAATCGTCTCGTCGGCTCTCCATTCTGGCCAGTTCTGCTTGGCCGCTCATCATCGCTTCACGTTCTGCCCGTGCATGCGTGCATCGTTGATTTCATTGCCTCTGGCGGCCGGCTTTCTGGTGTGGTGTTCCAGGGCAGCGCAAGTGGACCACCTTGCCACTGCCGCCACCATGAAGAATGTGGGGCAAATGTTTGTTCAGCTGCGGGCCGAGGATCAAGACTCTTCAGGGCCCGGCAGCCATGGCATGAAGGATCACCCGGACCTGGCCCACTCGCCGCGACTCCCGCTGGATGCCAATTCCCGCCTCACTGCTTGGGCGCCTGATCGCTCCTCTTTTCGCCTCCGCATCGATGCGGAGCAAGTCGCGGGCGACGCGCCCGTCATTCGTACCATCACCGCCCAGTATGGTCAAATCCTCTTTCTCCACGTCGTTCGCAGCTTTGACGCCATCATCACCATTGAGGCCCGCCCCGGCGAGGTATGTCATGTCTTACCTTGCCCATATTCACCGCCTGTTGATCTCCGTTCCTGAGCGTCTCCTGACCTCCCGCCACCTGACCTCGCGCCATCGCCGTGGCTGGATGCAGAGTAACCTGGTCCTGTTATACCGAATCGATGGCTCCCACTCGGTTCTGCCCGTCCCGGCCGTGGCCAACCACGTCAGCAGTTGTGAGGCGACTGGCCGTGTTGCTGTTGTCAGCGATGACGGCCTCGTCTTCCTGGATCTTCCCGAATCCCATCTACAGCGCGTCCAGGCCGACCCGCTCTCCGACTGGCCTCTCCCGTACGTTCCAACCATTCGGTTAGATATGGCCTTTGCGCCCCTGGCCGTCCACCTCTTTGGTGACATCTTCGTCGTCCGGAAGACTGTGCGCGAGGTTTGTGTTTTTTTTATGCATGTGCAAAAGTACCCGCGCCGGCGCCTTTAAGCCTTGCTACGCGCAGGCTCATGAACAGCACTCCCGGCACGCCCCTAGCTCTATGTTTACAGTCTCAGCCATGAACCTGCTGCCATTGGCCGCCACCATCAACCCGTCACTGCGATTCAAGTCGACGGCCGCACATCTATTCCCTTACCCAGTAGCCAGCACCTTCTTCTTCCACTCCAAAGCATCGAGGGCCAGCCACCAGATGACAACAGCCGTGCCGTCCTTGAAACCACGGCCATGACGTATGCTGGTTGCACCACCTCCAGCCCTAGCTCCTGTTTTGCTCGCATGACACTCTTGTCTCTTGTTGCACCAGCTCATTGTTATCATCGATCATGCTTGGCCTCATTGCAGATGCACCGAGCATCTCGTCACCAGGTTGGAACAAGACGCACCCCGTGAGACGGCGCTGCGTCAACTTTTGCACATGGCTTTGGAGCACGGCGAGGCTTTTAATACCGTTAGCATTACGGCACGGCAACACCTATCTGCCACTGAGGCCATGCAAAGGGTTGCAAATCAAGGCGCAACGCCTATCCCGGCCTCTTCTCCCAAGCATTGCACTCTCGTCATCCCGTCGCTTCGCCACGCTTGGATTTTTTCCGCCGATGCAAATGGTTGCCAACTCCTGGCCAAGTCAACCTATCCCCTGCCCGACCCTGCCGTTGCCATCTGGTGCAGTGGACCTCGTGTGCGTATTCCCCGCACTTGTGCCATGTTTGGCAAAATGGTGTGCGTACAAAACGGCTTGCATACCTTGGTGCCCCTCACTAAATTGCATTACCGTGATGCCGCAGATTTTTGTCATCTGTCATGGTAATAATACCGTCTTGTATACCTACAGCAATCAACGACAAGCCCCTGATATTCTGACACCCGAAGCACCTTTGGCCTTGCATCTTGATGGCACTGAATTGCATCCCGACCAGTTGGCCGAGTCAATCTGGTTGGGGAGCGACAGCCTCGCCCTACAACCCCTTCGTATGACCGCCACGGCCGAGCGTCTTACCATATCGGCCTTTACAGAGTAAGTGGGTGGTCTTTTGGTGACGAGTTTTGTGCTCTTGGCACTAAAATGTATCCCAACCCAACACGCTATACATGTCTCTGTTGCTGTCTTTATCGCTGTCTGCCTGGCTCTCTCACTCGCTCGCTATTGTTTTCCCACGCCCCATACTGTGCGTCGCTTTGGCGTGCCAATGGTAGGAGCGGGGAATGCCGCTTGAGCACTTTTATCATCACTCCGGTCTTGACCCTGATCCAGGAGTTGCACGACTTTGCCCAGCAGCTTCCCCGTGCCCATCCCAACGTTCTCCAGGTCAATCTACTCGCTTTTTATTTTTATTTTTTATTATATATGTCCTGTCGCTGAATCTGGATCATGGCAGCAGCTGTGAGAGCCTGGTAGTCTTCTCGACTCATTCACATGCCCGGTGCAGGTCTTGCATGACACAAACATGATTCTCCGTGGAGAGCTGCTCCGAGATCCGCACCGCATTCTACCCCACGTATGCTTCGCCCTATTTGTCTTGGAGACACTTTCAGATTTAGCTTGCATTCGCTCATGTTTGTCATTCATGTGCCTGCTGCAGTGGCAAACCAACTGTCGATTGCTGTTCCAATATCTCGACGATGCCAGCAGTGGCTCGGTGATGCGCCGTGCCGCGCTCTTGACCATGCAATCCAACGGTTCGACTTTGTTTCAAGGAAGCCCAGCAAAGGCTTTGCTGCTCGGGTGACTGGCTTTGTCTCACCAGCTCTACTTCTACTTGTGCGTAGTGCAACTGTCAGAGTTGCAAGCGCTGGTCCCTGGCGACAAGTTCAATGGGGACTCACATCAGGCAGCCCTTGGTCATTTGGTATACGCACCGCTTTTCCAGCAATGGCATCCTTGTTCTTTGGCTCCTTTACTTTTTGAACCGCCTTCCTTGCCTCTCGTCTTGATGCATTGTGTTCTTGTTCTCACACCTGTTGCACGTGGGATTAGCTCTCGGCTTTGACTGCGCTGCAAACGACCCACATATCGAGGTGAGCGCGGCTTTGAACCTCGTAAGAGACATGGCAGGCCACATTTGGGCTCATGCTGCGCGCCGTCTTGTTTTCCCTTGGCTGCGCAGTGCCACGCTCGATGCGCTCAAGGCGCTCGTTCAACACCTTGATGTCGGCAATATGACCGGTCAGTGCGACTTGGTGTGAGATCAATGTTGGCCCCATGTTCTAGTGATACATCGCCTCACCTCTGTATCGCAGTTTCCATTGAGGCGCTTTTGGAGGCATTTGCGATTGCGGTACCTACCGCGTGGCAAGAACTGACCGAGTCAGAGATTCAGCCGATTCAGGTGGGGCAGACTTGCTCGGTCGAGCCGCCCTCGGGAAGTTTGACGCCAGCCTCGTCAAGAGTGACATGTCATTGTCCCACCGTGCTTAGAAGCTGTTGGCCTCCAGCGACGAAGGCCATCGAGGCCGTGCCATGCTTCTCGGCGTGTTATTGGAGTGGACGTCAGCGGCCAAGCCCGTCGAGCAGTTTTCAGCGATTAAATCTTCACAGCTCATCCCGACGGTTAGCTTGATCTCCTGTCTCTTTGTCGCCGCATTGGTCTAACCTTGATTTGGTGCGGCACACACAGCTTCGACGGCACTTTAAACTTCTTGTGCGCGCCGACGGCGCGCCAGGCGTGCTTTTGCTAGCCTGTCATCATCAAGATGCTGTACTGGAGGTGGGGCCCCGTGCACAAAGGAGCATGGTCGCAACAAAACTCATTTTGAGCATACATCGAGCTCGTGTGCTTTTGACAAGCCTTACATTCGTTCCTGGCTTGCGGGGCGTAGGAGCTTTTGCAACCTTTGCTTTCTGCGATCAAGCCAGCCCAACTTTTGACTTTGCTTGAAATGGCAGCTCGTGCTCCCCACGTGTTGCGCGTGAGTTGAGCCTGTCTTCTTTCTTTTTTGTTTGGGAGTTTGTCCGTGAGGGGCATATCGTTCCGTCTGTTTACACAAGCGATTGTGATCATAGACCAAACTGTTGCCAAGCTGGGAGCTTTCTGCTCCGGGCGATCAGGATGTGGTTGTTGCTGCCATTATTGAGTCGCAACTGCACATCCTGTCCACGCCAGACACGGCCGGGTAAGGCCCCTGCTCCGCCCCATGGATACTATCCAGTCTAGTCCAGAGCTTGCGGGTCATCTCTCACCATGCCGTGCTCATGGGCGTGTACAGATCACCTAATTTGCGCCTCTCCGTTGATTTGGCATCACGCCCTTCCTGGTGTGACCACCTATCACCATACGGCCCCGATCGGACGGATGGCTTGGCTGGCAGTGCTTCAGCTTTGGCGGTATGCATGCTGTGCTCGGCCCTGCTTGTTGTAGACTCATCGCGTCCCAGTCCCATTCCCTCACTGTTTTTTTTTTTTTTTGTTTTTTTTCCCAAATTGTTCCCAGCAATTGCGGCATTTGCAAGCCTATTGCTGGGAGCAAATGCGCCCTGCCCTCGTCGAGCCTTTTAGGAGAGTGATGGAAGGCTTGCAGGACCGTTGTCCTGGTGCCACAGCCCTGAACATCATTGCGCACCTGCGCGGTGGGCAAGTTGTTGAAGGCGCGCTTGGTCTGTTGGCGAGCCATGCTCAAGCTTTTCATAGCTGGCTGCATGACGCCTCTCACGACTCGACGGTCCGTACTTCAAGGATGAGCGCTTTTTTTTTTTTTTTTTTTTTTTTACCGTGCGCACGGCGGGCAGCTGATGAGTCGGTGCATGCGTGCTGCCCCTCTTCAGGTCCTGGAGGAACTGGCCAGTCATTTGGCTGCGTGCTTGGCACAAACAGATGGCTGCCAACTCAGCAAGCTGGTGCCCCGTGCTGAAGTCCCGCTTGAAGAAGTAGCTCAGGCACGGCGAGAGGTTCTACATCAACACGCTCGGAGCCGAAAAGGTTCGCCGCGCGTAGCCATCCAAACCTTCAAGGAGTTATGCAGCTCAAGGCACATGGACCCCTCATGCAATTGGATCTTCTCTTGCAGATATTTCGCGTTTGTTGGACTTGCTGCCCGCAGACGGCATGGCTGCTGATTACTTGCCCATCCTTCAATGTGCGGTTCGCGAGGCGGCCGCGGACCGCATCAAAGAGGTGCGCATCGTTCGAGCGGATACTTACATGCGGCTCGCTCACAAAAAAACGATCATGTATGACATGATATACGTTCCATGTGTGTCAGCTAGCTGCGCTCACCTGAAGGATGTGCCATCGCTCGATAGTATCTTCTCTGATTTAAAAGTCTGCACCTGCTTCTGAAGGAGAATGAGATTAAATTTTTGGTTACATGTAGTTTGCAGAACGAAGCCTTTGCGGATTCTTTCTGATTTTTTAGGATCAGCCAACCCTGGTGTCAGAATGTAGGCGACAGTGTGCTGTGGAGACTCGTGCCTCGATTCACCAGTTCCAATCGACATCACTCCGTTGATCCAACTTTTCCCACAGACAGACGGAGAGACAGAGACCGAGACAGAGACGGAGAGACGGAGAGACACAGAGAGAGAGAGACAGAGACGCCATCTCACTGTTTTCGTTCTCTGCGAGCTCTCCACTTTTTTTTCTTTGTTGCACTGTTCCGCTTTTTTCTTTTGAACTCTCTGCTCCTGTTGCTCGAGTGATCGGCACTGGAGTCAGTGCGGTGGCGGCAGCAGCAAACAGCGCGGCGCTGGCTTGTTGGCCGTCAGCAAAGCATCATTAGCGGGCTTGGCTACCTTTAGGGGTAATCAAGGTTGATAGGGTGCCATCGAAACAAGAAACGATCGACCTCGCTCCTACGTGTGGCGCCTCCATTTCGCGCACCACCTCCGGCAGCGATTGGGACATGTGAGGCTTGCCCTCGATCGACAAGTGCCTTCTTCTCAAGAGGGCTTGAGCGGCTTTTCTGCTGTCGTTCTTTGCTCCACCTCAAGAGGTTTGCGCGCGCAACGCAACTGGCCATCATGGCAAAGAGCTCATCGGGTCATCTGGCCTTTGAGGCCAACGAGTTTATCAAACTACACCACACCAATTTTGAGCTCACCGCCTTTGACAGCTATGGTGCGCTCTTGATTCCAACCGATGCTTCTTTCCTCCCAGTCATCCAAATTCTTCTCTTCCCATTTGCCGCTCACCGCTCAACCGCTTCTGCTCGCTCGCGTAGATGATAAGCTGGTCTTTGGCACCAGCAACAACAAACTCGTGATTTATACCATCGAAAACTATCCCGTGCCGTACGGCGAGCAGCCCAACTGTAAAATGCTGGCGCCCGTCACCATCGAAGCCCACGCTGGTACCTCCAGCAGTCCTATCCGCCAGGTCAAGGCCATCAAGGAAATGAACCTCCTTTTGGTGCTGGTGGATACCACTTTGGTGTGCTTTGAGCTGGCCACACGACGCTTCAAATCCAGCCTCAGTGGTTACAAGGGCATCACTGCCTTCGCTGCTAGTCTGCAGGTGGGTGTGCCCCCTCCTGTCAGCCCCCCAATGCATCGAGCTCCACTCCAATTCGTCCACTTACTGCTGTGCACACTGCAGGTCAAGAATGACCCAAGCGCTGATACCCATCACCGATCCACGGCCCAGCTGCCACCTCGCGAGCGCATGCTTGTTAAGATTGCAGCTATCCGCAAGAAAACAATCTTGTACATCAAAGTCAAAGACCACGAGCTCACCATGCGCAAGGTTGTTTCTATCCTGGTTGTGTTGATCGGTCCAATCGGCCGGCCTTATTTCAACCTGCTACAAGGTCTCAGATCGAACCACTCACCGCTCTGCCCCATGTCCTAGGAGTTTGCTGTGCCGGATGTCCCTGCCATGGTGGAATGGTGCGACCGCGACATCATTCTCAGCTTTCGAAAGGAGCGCGAATACGTCATCATGCGCGTGCGTGCCCGCCATACATGCTCATCTTACACCCACGGCACCCATCTGGCTGTATACTGGTCGCCAATGAAACGAGTGCATGATACGTTTGTCGCCCATGAACTCACTTCTGTTTTCTCTCCTTCACCCGCCGGGTCCAATCATGCGCCCTGTGCACTCATGTACATAGTTGGACGAGGAGAACATGGGGCGGACACAGGTGCTTCAAAACGTGACCACATCTCCAGAACCCCTTGTGGTCCCCCTGCCAGACCACGAGTACATCATTGGCGTTGAAGAGCAAGGGTGAGCATTCATGGCAGCCAGTGCAAATCCGTAATGGGCTCGGCCCGAGCTCGCTGCTTGATCATGGCGTAAAGGCTTTGCTAGCGCTGCTGCTCTCAACGGATGATCTGCATTGACAGGACCATCAACACAATATTTCGCAAGTTCCAGGGCCAAAGTCAACCCCACAAATTTGGCATCGAGTGGAAGCAAATGCCCAAGACCGCAGGTGTGTGCGCGGCAAAGGCCCGATCTCGTGCAGCCCGACTTGTGGCTTGATTCTGTTTGGTGCAGGTACCTGATTGTTGTGTGCATTGTTCTGCCATCGTAGATGTGTATGAACCGTTTCTTGTTGGCATCAGTTCACAGTACGTGTCGGCACAGCCAAATCCGGTCGTATCACATCAACCAAGTCACCCTTCGTGCTTTGATATCAGTTCTGAACGAACCGACAGGCATCAACCATGCCTTCTGTATGCTAAAATCAACCTCATCCTGGAATTGCTTGATAATGTCCTGCTCAATCATTGCAGAGGGTTTCATGTCAAGCCTTTCGAGGGGCAGCTACATACATCAAACATTCAAACAATCAAGTTTACCGATGAGCCACGCTTCATGACCGTGGACAAGCATGTCTTCGTCGCCTTGCCTCATAGCTGTGTCATGATGGCCATGGTGCCGCTGGATATCCAGGTGGGTCACACGGAGGCCACCGGTGTAGTCGTGGGGCTTCTTGGAGCAATGGCCGTCGCGAACTGTTTGAGGCTTACACAACGTTGCATCTGGCTAGGTGGAGAACCTTTGCCTGTCAGAAAACTGGCCGCTTGCGGAGCAATTAGCGGTGCGCTGGCGTTCTGTCCTTGAATATAGCACGTCTTTCTGAAGAAGCACGGGGAGTCAGAGCGACAGCAAATGCAACTCCGACTCACGCTCAATGCTTTGGTACCCTCATCGATGTCACAGCCCTTGATGAATGTCTCGCAAGACGCCAAAAGCACACGTCTGGCCGACATTCAACAGAAATACGGCTACACGCTTTTCCGAGAGAAGAAATTTGACGCGTACGTATATCTTGTTTATTGTGCTGCATACTGGAGCATGCTTGTCAAAGTTGCTCGGCAAGTATGCTTACCCCGCAACATTGCCCTTCTGCAGTGGCCTCGAGAAGCTGAAGAGGTTGCCAAATGGCATTAAGCTGGCGCTGAAGCTCTGTTATTGGATGGTGCAGGACCAGCAAAGGGTAGGACAGACGGGTGGCCCATGGGTGTACCAACAGATAAACGCTGTCATGACATTGGTATAGGCAACGTCGCATCCCAGCGATCTTACATACGCGCGTGCACCTATTGCATCTGACAGCCTGCGCAAGACCTGCATCTCAGCGACAAGGAAAAGGAAGCTGCTATGGTGGCCCTTGCAGACTTTCTCACGGACGTGCGTCTTTTCATTGGCGTGCATCCATTAATTTCCGCTGTGGTGCGCGCTCTACCATTGATCAATGCTCTGCTTTTGGGCCTCTTTCCCAGGTCCGACAGCGTCGAATCAACAACAAGCAGGATTTTGAGCTGTCAGAGGAGCAAAAGGAACTTGACCTGCAAGTGGCAGACACCATGCTCTTGCAATGCTACCTGGAGGTGCCGGTACGGAATCAACGATCGCCTGCCACTTTGCATACTTTGGGCCCTTTTGTATCTTGCCACCTTTGTATTCAAGCCAGGCTGCGCAAACGACATCGGGCTGATGCTGAAGAGGAGGTTCTTTGACCTACTCACTGGGATGGTGTTGGTTTGCATGCCCTGGCTTGCCTCGACCCGTGCAGAGCAAGCGTGCACTGACCAAGGCGTTTATGCGCATCCCAAACAACCATTGCGACCTCGAGAAGAGCCGTCAACTGTTGGAACAGCATGGCATGACGGAAGAGCTGATTACGCTCTACAAAACGCGAGAAATGCATGATCAGTCCCTCAAGTTGATTCATGCCAAAACCAAATCGGATGAGGTGGCGCGCGTGACCGAGGTTGCCGCTTACCTCATGGAGGTGGCTTGCAAGGATATCGACGTTATCCTCAAGTACCTGCCAGATGTCCTCAAGTCCGATCCTGAATTGGCAATGGAAATTATTCTGACACCTGACCGCGATGACGTGGAGCACAGCGTGCCCCATTTGAAGATTTGCAAGGCACTGCAATCTACAGTAGCACAGCTCCCGGCGCGCGCGGCAGGCCCTGTCACCGCTGATAAAGATGCCATTACCATCCAGAACTTTGTGATTCTCTACTTGCGGAGCGTGATTGATGACTTCAAGGACAAGACACCCGAGCTCAGCACCCAGCTTGCCCTCGCCTACCTTGACTTTATTATTCCAGAGCTCAAGGTGCGTGCCCAAGGTTGTTCAAAGTTTTGAATCAGGCGCACAACTTTGTCCTGGAGAGGGTTGCTTACGGAAGGCCTTTTTATACAACATGCTATCGTTACGGTCCATAACAGGCTTATCGCAAGCAGTGCAAGCAAGACCGCCGAGAACCAGCTGACCTCGGCATGGAGCCGGGCAGTCTGGGTAAGAGTTTGCACATCACCTTTTTTTTTTTCTTTTTTTTTCTTTTTTTCTTTTTTTTTTCTTTTTTTTTTTCTTTTTTTTCTTTTTTTTTCTTTTTTTTTCTTTCTTCCTTGCAGGCTTGCATTGTCTGATGCTCACGCGCACAACTCGTAACGTACCATCCCATTCATCCGAAATGTCCTAGGTGCCTACCGTCAACAACTCTATCAGATGCTCAAGACGAACAAGCTCTACGAAGCGGGCACGGTGATCCAACGCATCAAGTCCAATGTGGAAGATTGTGAGTTTCCTTCCCCCACCATTTTTTTGTCCTCGTCGGCACAGCATGGCTGGCTCCCCTCGGTGTTTCCTTTTTTTTCTTGTTTCCATTGCAGCAGTTTGATTTGCTACCTCTCCTACCTTTAATCGGCCACCTCGATGCTTGTCTAGCTAAATTGCTGCAAATCGAATTGGCCGTACTGTTTGGTCGCATCGGACGACACCAGGAGGCTCTCGAGATCCTCGTTTATCAAGAGCGTGACTATCGTGCAGCGGAGGATCACTGCGTTCATGTGTATGCTCCAGAGGGACCGAGCCGTCAAGTCTTCATGATGTTGCTCAAGGTGAGTTTGGTTTCCACCCTTGACTTTGAGTGCCGTCAACGGCACACTTCTGTTTGGCACATGTCAACCAAACCCATCTCTCTCATGGTACAACATCCGTTGACTTGGAGCAGCTCTATCTCGAGCCACCAGCTGAGACGCCGGAGGCGCTCAAGACTACTTATCGTGAGGAATCTCTCAAGATCTTGGCGGTGCACGCAACGGTACGTCAATAACCCACGGTGATGCATCTGGATCACAAAAACTCAATCCCAAGTCTGACCTCTATCTTTTGTCAAACTCTGATAGAAAGTCGACGCGCGCGAAGCCATTGACCTTTTATCTCTGCAGACGAGAGTAAGTGTGTGTCTCCGGAGCTTTCTGGCCTCGACATCAAATTTCCCCAGCTCTCTGCTCACTGACCAAATGCCTCCGTTTTGCTTTGGCCAACCCAACCATGTCCTACGACGCTGCGTCAGTTGTGTGACATTGGAGACTTTTTGCGTTCAATCTGGAAGGAACGTTCGACCACCCGCAAACGCACAGAGCTGGCTCGTAACCTGGCCAAGACAGAAAATCTACAGACACAGGAGCGGCTACTGCGCTACCACAATCGCAACGTGCGCATTGCCGAGCTCACGTACGTAATCTGTGCATCACATTTAGTTGCGTGTCTGCATTCTGGCTCTGTTGTTTCTTCCCCATTTCATTTCGATTCAAATTATGCTCATTTTGCATGGCGGTCCACAGTCCTTGTGCGACATGCCACAAGCCGTTGGGCAACCGCCCCTTCGGCGTGTATCCTTGTGGTAAGTGCGCATGTAGCCAACGATTGCCTGGCCGGAAGTCTCTGCCCCTTGCTTTTACATCTTCCACACCAGCCCTCATCTCAACCTATGTCTCTCTTATGCGCACCCAACGCCATACCTGTCGTTGTATTTGGTCTCATATTTGACAAGGTCGTCTGGCACACTTGAATGCGCAATGCAAGCCGGATTTGTGCCCACAGCACGCGCAAGAGTGTCGCTTGGATTTGGATTAGGTTTGACTCGTTTTTTCTTTTTTTTCTTTTCTGGATTTAAATTCATATCCCTTCTGGTCCTTGATGGTGTGCTTGTCGGGTCCTCGTGGCTCACAAACAATAAATGACACATGACAAATGCCAGCCCAGAGAACACACAATAATGCATGTCATAGGCAGAAAAGACATGGCTAGCGTCGAGAATTGCGTGTTTTTCGACTCTTGGACTCGGCTCGTTTGATGGCGTTGATTGAGGCGCGCCATTCTGACAGGCGCTGGCGCAACTTGAGAGCATCCTTGCTCAGCTCATGACGAGGCCCATTATACTGCAAAAACAAAGGAGGGAAAAGAAAGGGTGAGGACATTCAAGTTGAGGGAGCACAGACACATGGGTGCGAGCCCACTTGAGCATACCTCCAAGCAGTTTTGAAAAACCAGCTCCACATCTCGATCAAACTCAGCAAGGTCATGGTATTCCAAGTTGTCCAGTTTTTGCTGTCAAGCGAGAGACGACCACAAAACAGCGTGACTCACTGAAAAAGCTCAGGAATGCCGGATCGATCGGCACAGACATACCTTGATGGTCTTCAAATCCATGGGCTCGTCAATAACCTCAAGATAGTCAGGCACCTCAGCCGGCAAAACAGGAAAGCGAAATGGTGCAGCCAGCTCGTCGTCAAAAAGCAAGGTCAAAAGCTCCTGCAATCCACCATCATGCAGCTTGAGCCCCCCGCTTTTTTTTTTTTTTTTTTTGTTTTTTTTTTGAACAAGTTGAGAGATAACGTATTCCGAGAGAACACAACACCACAAAGACAACGTCCTGACCTCAGCAATCGCCAGTTCCTCCTTGTTAAACTGTTGAGATCGACGCGTTTGTCGGGCCTCGTTATTGTCATTGCCGTCCGACTCGTCAGAATCACTGGCCTCGGCATAAGAGACCTTGGTCTGCGCAAGTGTCAGGCAGGCCGTAAGATGGCGAGTAGCTATGACGTGTTTGATATTCCATGGGGCGGCACAGTTTTGAACAAGAGTGGACGACTATGCAGACTAGAATTGGAAGACTCGGTGTCCAATTCACACGTGGGCTTTGCAAGCCGCAAGCCACAAAGACGTGACAACGAAAACAAATTTGAACAAAAAGAACAACCCTCCACTCTTGCTGCTTTCACCGTGTCTCACTACTCAAACTCGTTGACGTCAGAACCTGACACAACAAAAACAACAGCCCGAGTTATCGTACCAAGCTGCGGCGTGCCCGAGGTGCCTGGCGCTTGCTGGCCCGCCCGCCCCGGGCAGAACGGCTACGCCGAGATGTTGCTGCAGGTTCTTCCTCGCTGTCATCTTGCTCCTCGTCTTCTGCGCCGCTGGCACCCTGGTCTGCCGAATCAGAGTCCTCCTCCAGTTGAACGCGACGCTTTGCAGCCGGTTTACGCGGGGTCGGTTGGCAAACGGGACAGAACCAGTCCCCCTCGGGCACCGTACGTAGTTTGGGTCGCAAACAAAACATGTGATAAGCATCTAACAAAATTATCAGCGCCATCCGTTAGAGCAGCAATGGAAAAAGGGGGCAGGCTCAAGCTGCAGCACGGCATAATGAGTGTACCTTCACAGCCGTCGCAAAGCAAAAGCTGGTCCTCTTGCGTCGTTTTGCGACAGACTTTACAGCGCGCGTTGAGAATGGACAAGTCCCAGCGTATGCTGCTATCCAAAGTGCTGAGTAGCAAATGCAGCTGTGGCACAACGACATCCCCATCGAGCAAAATAAGACATTTGGGAGCGGCCACTTCTTGGTTGGCGGAAATGACAAGCCCGATACAGCCAAGGGCGACCGTGGCAACAAGGCTGGTCAGACGCACGCACCTGCGCGCAGTTGGTGGCAAGCTGCGCCACCTCTCGGAAAAATTCAACCGGTGTGCTGGGAGCTGGCATACCAGAAGCCGTTCCGTTGATCAAACCTGATCCTGTTTGTTCAATTTCATTTTGTTCAACCTTCTTCTCGTCGTCGTCGTCGTCGTCGTCGTCGTCGTCGTCGTCGTCATCGTCTGGGCGTTGATCCATGCGCGAGTCTTGATCGTCATCCTCTAGAGTATCACGCTGCTCCATGGAAGACTTGCCGTTCATGCTGGTTATAGCGGCCTTTGATTCTGACTCCGTTTCAGCAACGATAGCTTCCCGGCCTTCGGCGGCGGCTCGCTTGCGTAGAACCAGCAGCTCTGCAATAAAAATTGCACAAATGCGCAGGCCGACAATATACTCTCAAACTACAGCATGGCAGGGAAAGAAAGCATGCACATGCTCATGCGTGCGGGTGCGCAGGAAGAAACTTGACGTACCACGGCGTGCAAGCTCAATCTGTTCCGGCGAGAGCTCGCTGGCTCCCAAGCATACACCCTCATTTGTCTTCGTCTTGTGCTTGCTCCGCAAAAACTTTTGCGGGATGATACTCAGCACCTCTGTCAAAAGCTTGCCTAGTGCCTGCACGTTGTTGGCATCGTCGACGCGCTGGCGCCAATCCTCCACATCATGTTTCTTTAAAGCATGGTTCAGAACAAGTAGCCAGCATCGGGACAGAGGGAGGTTGAGAGTCGTCGCGAGCAAAAAACGAGCAAGTGCAGGCAAGTCAAGACGCAGTCCAGAGAGGCGGAACTACGGGAAACAAGAGCAGACACCCAGCTGGGCTTGCATGTGACACATAGCCTTCAACCTACCTCAGGGGCATCGAGCAACGATGCATCAAAGAGGCGACGCACTGCGTCCATCAACTGCTCTTTAAAGCCATGGAGCATCTCCGCATCAGCAGAGGCATCCTGCGCCGGATAGGGTACGGAGCTTGAGATGATAGATGACGCGATGCAAACGCGTGCGCATAAAATAGAGCGCCCACAAACCTCGCTGGGCAAGATGGCACGGCCAAAGCACGAACGGGGCACCTTCAAAGCAAAGGCTGCTGACACAGTCTCTTTGTACTGTGGGATCATGCGCCCATGGCAACAAGGGATGTGAATGGGTGGGTTGCGGCTTGCGTACACACTCGGCCAGTGGGCAGTGAGCAGTTCACTAACGCGTGCAATATTCTCCTTGAGATCCACTTCACGCACACCACGACCGTTGAAGGCCGCAACCACATCCCGCAAGGTATTCGGGTCCTTGATCACGCGCCATTCGCCTGAAGACGGTGGTAAGCGGGATAAAAACGTGCACCGCGGACATGTGATAATGAGTGCAGTGGCTCTGCGTTTAAAAACTCGACACCGCCTTATTTAGATTACAGGCAAGCGAGGTGCTACAGCAAGGACCGGTCGAGTCATACGCACAGTTGATCACATCTTCGTCGAGATCGGGGATGGAGGTATGGCAGCCTTCGTTGGCGTCAACATGCCAAGCATTCTTCTCGGCTTGTTCGCGGCCAAGTGCACTCAACGCCTTGGGCTTTGGTGCTGCCTCCCACTCTTTTTGAACAATGCCGTGCAATTCAATGTCCATGGCTGAGGGCGGTGACACGACAATGCCCCCAAAGCCAAGCAAGCACCAGTATTGACTATTGGGTGCCACGCCATGTCAAATATGGAGTTGAGTTGTGCACAAATTGCAAGGGTACGGAATGGACAGCCTTGTGAGCTCGCTTGCTTCGGATGAGGAATTGAAGAAGCGAAAACAAAAAACAAAAAAAAGAAAGAAAAAAAAAACAAAAAGAAAGAAAAAAAAAAACCGGTCGGTGTGTCCACCAAGCCACTTGCTCTTGAACACTGAGACGTACCGATAGTAACGATCCTTGCCCAAGCAAACGGAGCGAAAGACGACGCTGTGTTCGAGCATGGTGGAGCGCAACCGGCGCTCCCGCTCGGAAACGTCTTGATTTTGCCGCGACGCCTTTGCCAAGCGATGTCATCGAACAATTTTTTTTTTAAAATCAATAAAATAAGTTAAGATGCAATGTTGAGGTGCAGCCATGTGGTCATGGCGAAGAATACTGCCCAGTTTAAATCCCGCAATCGCGGGCCAGTGATTTCGAAGGTACGGACCTCATCTTTAAGTTTGGCTTCCATGCGTTCAGCTTGCTGTTTGGCGGCTTGGGCTTTTTGTGAGGCAACGTTTGCCTGGCGCTTCTTTGAGCGGCTGTCGTCTGCAGTGGTTTTCTCCTGTTCCAAGGCATCCTTCAAGGACTGCGACCACGTCAAGAATGAACCGGCCCACCCGCGTACACGAACGAACAAGGGTGATTTGTGAGACACGAAGAAAAATTCAACACTCGAAGTAAGTTGAGGCCATGGTACCAGCTACACTGACATCGGTGGCATCCTTGAGTGAAGCACGAGCTGTCTTGAGTTCTTCCTTTGTCTTTTTGCGCTGGTTGCTCGCTTCCATCGCCTAGGTTTGCAACGGTGAACACACGGGTCAGTGAAATTGATAAGTTATACATGCTTTGGCCCAGATACCAACTCAAGTTCTGTGGAAAAGAGCGAATGCCCACCTCTTGCAACCACGCGTTGCGGGCCGCCTTGATGTCTTGTTCGGCTTGCACCATGGCTGATTGAACGGCATCAGTCTCCAAAAGCCGGACGGCCAAGAAACCGAACACGTCCAGCTTGTGCACATATCTGTGAGCACGATTTCCAAACGAAATGCAAGGCAGTTCGTGAAGACCATTCACCACGGGAGGGCAGGGTGTGGAGAGGAGTTTCAAAGTGCGGTTACAGTTGCTCAGAAGTCATGACGTACGACAAATCGAAGAAGGTACGAGAATGCAAGTCTTGGAGCATGTCGCGATGTGCAAATTCGTGTATGTAAACGCGCAGATACTCGAGAAGCAGCAAGGAAATGGTCGCTGGGCCATTGGCAGCCACGGATTGCACTGGGGCTGCCAGAAATGTGACATCAATGGCGGTGCTGTCGTCGCCGCACAGGGAAACAAGCATAAAGCTGACAAGATCGGCCACCAGACCCGTGGTAAGGGGTGACTGCAACGCACGGTCCAAGTCGTAAACGTTAAACTCATACTCGACAAAGTTACTCATTTCCAAGACTGGCCCAAAGGTCCTATTGCCAAGGCCCGCATGGCGTCAAAGTGAGCGGATGGGTCCCATCACGATAGACATTGCGCGGTGGAGGTGACGGGTCGATTCGGCAACCAACATGAGTATTTGATAGATCTCCATGACGCGCTCAAATTGCTCGGCGCTACCGGCGTACTTGATGCGTTGTAGAGTAGGCAGCGCTGCGGAGCAGTTTGAGGAGTGCGTATGTGATGAGCACTGAAATATCGAGGCTGTCGACACATGGCGTGCTGTTCATATAAAAGAAGAAGGAAAACAACAACAAACAAACGCAAATCCCACACACGTTGGGAATCAGCAAGAGCCATGTCGTCCCGAGCAACCCAGTAAGCCGTCTCAACACGCTGCGCATCCTCGCGGGCTTCACGCTCGCGCTTGCGCTGGGCTAGCTTTTCCTTGGCCGCTGCCTCTGCTTTCTGTGGATTGACCAAGGCAAAAGTGAGATCGAAATCGCCGGATGTCCGCTGCCAGGCCATGGAACGGTGAGATGCAGTCGGACGGCGCGTCATTGCTCTGGTTTGTTTGAGCAAACACGACCGTTTCAAACGCACTTGAGCCTCGGAGAGCTCTGGTGCCGCTCGCTTGGCTTTTTTCGCCGGGGTTCCGGGTTTGCTACGTGAGCTGGTCTTGTCAGATGCCGTAGCCTTTTCGTTGTAGCCTTGAGGGAGTGGAAGGTGCAGCATCAGATGTGGTGCCGCTGCAGGGTGGTGCAAGGCAGGCAAGAGACTTACGGACGCTAAACAGACTCTTCTCATCGGCCGCGCTGGCCTCGCCCACAGGAATGTCGAACAGCTCACGCAACGCAGTCTTTTTATTTTTGTATTCGTGACACAATTACGGCCAGGACTGTTAGCACGGCGACAAGCACGAGCGCAACGGGGTACGGTAAACAGGACTGAACCACATGCGACGTACTCGAACCAGCCAAGGCCCATTGTCTCCGTAAAAGCGGCGGGTGTGAACGCGGATAAAACGTCGCATGGGTTCGAGCGTAATGGTGTAATCAGGACGATGGCGCAATTCGGTCGCAGACACGACCTAAGAAGGTCCTGCCATGAGGAACACTACACCGCTACAAATGTTGCTCGCGGCGTGGCTGGAGAGAAGCCTGAAGATCCGCCATACCTTGCGCTCGCCATCGGGCAGCTCAATCTCGTATTCAAGGGTCGTAGGGTCTTCTGTGGCCAGGAATGCGTCCACTAGGCAACAGCGTCCAAAAGGTGGGGAAGGGCAGGGAGAGCAATGTAGAGAGCTGATGAGTTTGAGGCTGTGTCTGCACGGGTGGCCTCATTGCAAGCTTTGATCTGGCGGGTGCGGTGTAAGCTCTACCTGATACCCCGCGCAAAACCTTGACGGTCCTGTCAGTTGGGCGATTGCAGTGCACGACCACCGTCATGAGTAAGGGTTTCGACGTCAGAGTGAGAAGATATCGGCGAAAAAAAAAAAGGTAGAATCGTTGCCGCAACGAGTCGTGACGTACTCGCGCGCGGCCGCCTCCTTGGCTTGGGCGGGGTACTCGGCAGGCCAATTGTCACGGAAAAAGCAATTCAGCTGAGCTTGGACCTAAGCACAAGCAAAATGGGTGGTGGTGGCCCCACGTGGCAGCAAATGAGGAAAGGCCAAAGGAAGATTAACAGTAGAGAGCATGGCCGGCAGGCGAGGCAAGGGAGAGGCGGCGTCAACATGCGCATGCAAGCGCAAAGACACACTGACCTTGGGTAGTAGCTTCTTGAGGTTGTCAGGGGCATGGTTGTGAAAGATGTGGCACAAAACCTCCAAGAACGGTCGCAGAAGGATGATGCTGCGCTCCAACCGAACCTCAGACTGGACGGCGCCACAAGGGAAGCGTGAGACAAACGAGCCGGTCAACCATTGGAATGCTGCGGGAGCACGCAGCGCACCCGCATGGCCTCTTCAAAGGTCAGGTTTTTGCTGCTTGAGTGAAGGCAGCTCCACTTGCGCTCCTTGAGCTGGGTGATCCGCTCAAGGTACACCCTGGGTAAGCGTTGACCACGGAGGCGCAGGGATGACGGTGAGATGCCTCCAATCGATTGTCAAGAGGCTGGGCCACGGGAGCCTCCGGACAGCAGGGACATACTCGTAGGTGGCAAAGGCTTCGCCCGTCACGGGGCAGGCCCACACAAGCTCGTCAAGCCTGCCGTGACCGTTCAATGCACCCGTCCAGCATAGCACGCCCACAAACAAACGACAGCGGCGCGACATAGGTCATGAGTTTGAAAGCAAGCTGGTGCCCTGGCGCCTTTAGCAGGGATTGTGCACGTACTCGGCATCTGGCTGCAATGGCTCGAAATCGAAGGTTTCGCAGCGCGGCATGATGGCCAGGTGCGTCTACCGACAAACAAGATACATAAAAAAACACAGACACACACACACACACACATACACAAACACGCACGGGACTGAGTGAGGTCGGTCCGATTGAAGAGCTCCATAAGCTGCCATCACCTGCACCACGACAGGTGAAAGCAAGGGTGCAAGAAGGAGGAGAGCGTGCGAGGCCGGGGTTGTGTGACGTGCTGCGTCGCAAGCTACCTATTCAAAGGCACAACCAACTCGTCCTCGTGCTTCAAGTCTGGTGCTGCGCCTTTTCCAGGGCTCGAGTGAGGAGAGACAGGCCACCAGCGCCCCCACACCGCACTTACCCAGCCTCTCCACAAGGACCTGGCACCAGCAGCAACCCCACGCTCAACACTAGAACGATGCCCAGATAGCGTCCACGACGGTCCGCGCAAGTGAACGACGATGGAACACAACCGCAACAACACCGCCGAGCAAATGAGAGAGAGAGGAGAGAGAGCTGTGGTCGTTCTCATTCTTCTCTCTCTTCTCTCTCTCGTACTGCTGTGTAAACGTCTGCTCTCTAAATTTTAACCGTTGCAAGTTGATTCTCTCGTGCACCTTTGGATTTGTTCTGACACTTGCTGCAGGCAACACAAGTTCTCTGCTTCATGCAACGGCAAGTTCACTTTCTCTGCTGTCCTTTCACGGTTACCCACCAGGCTCTGACTTCCGGCGCCGACTCGATCATTTTGTCTGACAACGGCCGAAGAGATCGAAAAAAGTAACGGATCGTTCCGCCAACTCCCACACGATGAAAACACGTGTACAAGTTGAAGAACATCAAACCTGTATCGACAGGTTTGCAGCTCCAGCTGACCTGAGTCATCAGAGAGACGTTCACGCTGACATTGCAGTCCAACAGCTCAACCTTACAATCTAAAGGGCATTCAGAGACAGCGCGTCGCAAGCACCAGAGCCGATGAACGAGGACGAGGACAGCAGCGATGCCGAAAACGCCGCATCAAAGTCAGTCAGTCGTGGTGCCACGGCGGCGGCGCGAACGCATGACCGCCTGGGGCAAGACAAGCGTAGGTCCTTACGCAAGGGCAAGGGCGGGTGGGGCGTAAAATTTGCTACACTACAGCCTTGTGCTCACCATGCATAATGAGCTAGGTTGCCTGGCCGAGCAGCACCAGTGCTGACGGCAGCGACGGTGCGAGCTGGCCGTTGGCTTGCCCTTGAGCCCGTGACGCAGGCCTTGCGGCCGTGCCACGTCGTTGATGTGCGCCTTCAGGGCCGCCTCGATGCCTTTGTGCGTTTTGAAGGGTGAGTCCAGTCGCACCCACCCCCCGCCCGTTCACGCTGGTCAGCGGGCCATGCCTTTGCGCATGCTTGAAGCTCAATTGCAAATCGACGCTGCCGCGTGTGTAGTCCCAACAAAGGCCGCATCCATAAGATCCCGGCCTCCCAACTCGTCCCTGCCCAGCCCGAGACGGCTCAACCGGATTCGCCCGATGCTACTCTGGAAGAAGAGGAGGCAGAGGAGAGTGCCAGTAGCCACCAAGCCCGATCGCCCGCTTCACTTGCACGCCAACCCCAACTCCGACAGGTCGTTTCTTCCGATGATGATGAGGGCTGGCAAGGGACTGGATCTCAGAGCAGCAGCTCCGTGGTGGCACCGCTCCCCGCCAAACGTCCGCGCATTTATCCATCCTCCCCGGCGAGGAACCCAACCCGCACGTCTGCGGCCGAGCGGGCTGCGACGCAGCCCTCACTGCTCCTGAGCAAAGTGAGGCGGCGCTGCTGGTACAGGCACTTTTTTTTTTGTTTTCTTCAAACCTTCTCTTGACCTTATTGTTGGCTTTGCTCAATTCCAAGCCCTCACGGCTGTTGCTGGCCACAATCCGACAGGGACGACGAATCGGAGAGGTGGCTCGACAACACCAACAGCGTCGCCTGGCCGAGTTTGGACTGGACCGACTCCCAGTCCCCAGTCACCCCAAGCCACCACCGCAGCGCCCTCCATCACCATCACCACCACCTCAAACCTTGGTCAATGATACAAAGGCAACGCCCAAGCAGCCCAGGTCACGCCGCGAGCGTGTGGCTCGAGCTGGGGCTGCCAGTATCCACCCGCCCAGCCCAAACCATCCCGTTGTCGCCGGCCCGGGAACCATGCGAACCGAGACGGAGACGGAGGCGCCTTCTCGTGCGGCATGTGGTGCCGAATCGGACGGGTCAGTGAGCCCTGCCCCTAGGAGTCAAAGCCCTGCCCCCGTGGATGCCTTGTCGGTCGACCTGGGGCTGCGTCACGGCACGCTCGATAACCAGCCCCGCCCTGCCTTTGGCGCTGATGATGCGGAACACCTCGCCCAAGCAACACCACTTCTTCTATACGAGCCACCGGGCCAAGCTGGTCTTGGACAAGTAGGGGATTCTGGCAACCATGCCTGTACGCCGAACACGGCGGAGCCGACTAGTCAACAGGAACAGCAGTGGCGGGAACGAGTTGCCGCCGCTGTCTGCCAAGTGCCGAGTCGCATCAATGCCTTTTTACGCCCGTATCAACGAGAGGGGGTACAAGCCATGGCCCGCGCGCTCTTTCGAACGCAGCGGACCGGGTTTGTGCTCGCCGATGACATGGGATTGGGCAAGACGGTGCAGGTCCTGGCGTTGGTGGCAGCCATCCTCGGTAAGACGGGGGATCCCGCCACCGACCTGCAGTTGGCAGCGGCGGTTCCGCGAGGCAGCATTTTGATCATTTGCCCGACCAGTGTTCTGTACAATTGGGAGCAGGAGGCTCACCAGTGGGCCTACTTTTCTCTGGGCCTTTTTCAAGGCGCGCGTCGGGCACAACTCCTGCCCGATATTCTTCGTGGTCGCTATGAGGTGGTTTTAGCAAACCTGGACAGCATCAAAACTGAGCCAGCGCTTTTGGAGCACAACTGGCTCTTGGTGGTTGTGGACGAGTGCCATGCCCTGAAGAACGACAAGACTGAACGATACCGTGCCTTGGCCCGCATGACGTGCCGCCGGCGTCTTGGGCTATCAGGCACTGTCTTTCAGAATAACTTTCGCGAGTTCTGGGCCATCTTTAACTGGGTGTTGGCTGGGGCTTGGATCCCCTGGCCCCGCTTCAAGCGTGAGTTCCAGGGCCCCATCGTATCCGCGGCCGCCGCTCGCCGCACTGCGGAACAGCAAAGAGCTGCCGAAGCAGCCCTGCTGCACCTGGCGCAGTGCACGGCTGACGTTACTCTCAAGCGATACAAATCGCTGCTGAGCAGTCAGCTGCCTGTCAAGCAGGAAAAGGTTGTTTTTTGCAAGGTATGCTCGCCCCTGCCCATCTGCCTGACGCGCGAAAGAGTTTTGGCTGCTGTGTAGCGAGGTATTTTCATGCTTGCTTGCATGGCGGCCCGCCGTGGCCGGCTCTGTCTCATGCTGGGTGCGTCGTTGCGCTGTCGAGTTAGCTGACCCCCTTTCAGATGGCAGGCTATCAACGTTTCCTGCGCTCCGACTATGTCGAGGTGAGCTGCACCCTTTGTCACGCCCAAACCTAGGAGCATCGAGTTTCAAGCGGCCGAACGGGCTCATGTCGGCTTGCCAACTGCGGGCTGCAGGCTCTTTTACAAGCTACGCACAACCCATGCCGTCGTTGTGGCGCTTCCAAACGCGGCAGCGAATGCTGTTATCAGGTCGGTCTGGTCGCCAGAAACGTTTATGCTCGGGCGCTGGGCCGATCTTGCCTCACCAGTTTCATCGACCTGAACCACCAGCTACATCGCTTGAGTCGCGTATGTCGTTGTGGCAGCTTTCTTGACCCCAATTGCCACAAGTGCCACTGCCCACCAGACAGTAGGTCACTGCTTCCAGGTGCACTTCCGCTCGCCTCTGCCGGTCGTCTCATTTTGACTCTGGTCTCATTATGACTCTGTGTTCGGCAGGCACGAAGGGCTGCGCTTCCGTTATTCATTTAATGTTCCCCGTCATCAGCGTGTTGCGTCAACTGAGCAATCACCCGGCGTTGTTGTTGCCACGTGCCGACGATGACGAAGTGGTGCGGGCCGAGGTTTGTGCGCGCAGCTCGTTGGATTGGTTCAAACTCGGCAAAACGAAATTTGATCCACCCCACCTTATTCGCTTTGAATGGGAAGCGCCTGCCGGCACAAAACGGGCTTTCCTTGTGCTCACGCCTCTCACTGGGGCCTGATCACATGGGCGTAGAAGTTGGAGCTTTCTGAGAAAGTATTTGAACCGGAAGACCCATGGATGCAAAGCATGTTGCGCAATCAGCTTACCTCGGCCGGTGACACAAGCGTGTGCGGCAAGCTGGCCATTCTGATGCAGCTTCTGGCGCGGTGGGAAAAGGAGCAACTTTCCGTCGTCATTTTTTCCTACACGACGCGTTTGCTCAACATTATTCAGGTTGGGAATTGGCGCGCTTGTGGACTTGATTGGGGTGTGCTTATCACCTTGAAACCTCTTTCCCCTCCCCTCACGCTGATTGTATGTGGACGACATGGTGTGTGCTTGACTTAGGATGCATTGTCGTTGCAAGGGCGAACGCCGTTGCGAATTGATGGGCAAGTCTCGGCCCGCGATCGCCATGCCGTGGTGGCCAAATTTCAGGCGCGCGACGAGCGCATTTTGTTGGTGTCCACGCATGCAGGAGGTGAAGGCATCAATCTGCAGGCGGCAAGCAAGGTGGTCATTGTCGACCCTTGCTGGAATCCTGCCCGTGACCTGCAGGCCCAGGATCGAGCCTATCGGCTAGGAACCGAACACGATGTGGAGGTGTTGCGACTCGTGACGGCGGGCACGCTCGAGGAGTTGGTGTATGCACGGCAGGTGTACAAATTGCAGCTGGCACGCATGGTGCAAACGGGGCGGACCACGGCCCGCGCCGTATTTGACGTGGCAATGCCGGGTGAGGGCGAGCTCTTTGGCCTTGAAAACATGTTGGCTCCGCCCGTGGACGGCAGCTTGCTGGAGCATATCCTGGAGCGGGCGATGCGCCGTGCGGCGGATGACAGTTTGACCACCAAAGCGGTGGATCTCTCCCCCATCTTGGGCTCACGCAGTGACCGCTCCGAGACGGCGTACTGGGAGGCCGAGTACAACGTGGATCGCACCCGGCTTGGGGCGGCCTTGTGGGACGAGGTACAGGACAAGCCCGAGCCCGGTATGGAAGCGGCGAGCGACGATGCGGCGGCGCATGCAGCTGGCGCAAATGAGGCTGCCTCGGGTTTGGCTCGGAAAGAAGACGAGCGGGCATCAATGGCGCGGGCGCTGCTAGCGCTCGAGCTCGGGGCCCAGGAGGAGGACGCAGATGCAGAGTTTGCACGCGAAGCGCTAGACGTTGTGCGTGAGCCCGATGCCATGGGCGGTCGACGAGGCGCGACACGGCTGGATAGCGTTGACGCGATTCAAACTGCCCTGCGCCTGCCCTTTCGCTTGGGTACTGAGCAGTTGGTCAACGGTGGCCAGGGGCTGGAGTCGCAAACGCGTTTGGATCAAAAAAACGATTCGGAGCAGAGCAGGCCTGAGCTGGAGACTACGCTGAGCTCAAGCCCCGAATTGCGCGAAGATGCTGACTTGACTGAGAACCAGCGACTGTGCTTGGAGCTCGTCTTTACACGGTCCGTGATTCGTGGTCACAGGAGGGTGGCGGGGTTACAGCGTGGCGTTGGGTTTTCTCACGACGTTTTGGCCTGCATTTTTTTTTTTATGTCCTTGTGGAAATCTGTATCTCGGCCATGTTTATGGCACTGCGGCTGGTGGTTGGTTTGTGACGACGACCTGATTCCTTGTATCATGATCTTCTTGTGTGCTTCTGTGGTTTGCCGGTGCACATGTCCTTTGGCTCGGCCGCCTCAGTTGGTGTGTGCGGACGGGGGCCAGTGCCACGGCTGCGCTCATGGATGACTTTGTCAGCTCATTGGCGGATCTGGATGATCTTGAACTGACTCGTTTTGTGCGGGAACAGGGCTTCTCCGTCACCGCGTAGTGGGATCTGCCCATGGCGTCCGTGCTCGGAACGTGGTGCTCGGGTTCTCTTGCTGAGGGACAATAATCTCTCTTATTTTTCTTTTTTTTTTCCGTGTGTGTGAGAGTGTGTGTGCGTGTGTTTGTGCAAGCTGGCCAGCAGACTCAGCTCCAGCACACGCGCGAAATTGTACAGCTTCGAGGACGATCATGGCAGAGAGGATGCGTTACACGCATGGGTGATGGCTCCGAGCGTTTGTTTGCAATGGGACTAGAATTCTGCAGTATGACCACCCTACCCATCCCATTCAGGACAAATGGGTCGACTTCTCCTCCAAAGCAGTCCTCCTTTTGTCTCAGCTCTCTGACGTAACTCTCGTACATCGATGTACATCCAGCTCTTCTGCACACTATCTCGCAATCTCGCCATCGCTCTCCATTCCTCCAAGCATCCCTGATGAACTTGACTGGTCCTTTATGGAGTTGTGCATGTTGCACGTGTTACTCGTGCAGTGCCTGGTCTCGGACTCGGACCGGGCACAACTGGTCAGCGAGGCGCTGCCATTGTTGGGCGCCATGTTTGGAGCGTTCGGGTCAGTCGGGTCAATCAGGTTTTGCTTGCCCCTGTGCAAAAGCGCGTCACAGCACCACACCACGTGGCAGACACCCGGCGCAATCGAGCGCCGGTGATGTACCTTTAGAATGGATCATGCTGTAGTCGTTTGAAGAAGCAATCAAGAGGCATAAAGGAGCAACAAAGGAAAAAAAGGAAAAAAACAACGCTAAAGGGTGGGCTGCGTCATGACCAGCTACGACTGCAATTCCGATGCACCCGCCCGGCAACTCGAGGGTTCCGGTGCCTACGTGCATGACCTTTTGCACAAGGCGCCCACCAAAGGGTTGGCACCCGTGGGCGGAACGCAACAAAACGTGGGAGCGGAGAGGGGGGAGAGTGAGAGAGTGTTCACTCACATTCCACGCTGCAGCCTTTCTTGGCCGTCGTCGTCGTTGGTGTCGTCGTCGTCGTCGTCAGCTGCCACCGAACAAGTCGACGCCAACAACCCAGCCTGCCCATACAAACCCTCCGTCGGACTAGGTTTGCCCAACCTCCTCCTCAGTAGGGCCAAACAAAAATTGATCGGCACCGAGTTTGGTCGTTTTGGTAACATGCGTCCCCTCTTGCCGCCGCCGAGCTGCCGTTCTGCTGTAGCGCTGCCGACCGCGATTTGCTGCCCTGGTCTGCCCCCGCTGCTTCACTATCGTCAGGTTCGCATGTAAGATCCCACACACACGCACGCGCATGCGCACACGTGGATGCTTGATTCCTCTGGAAATTGCGCCCGGGTCTTGATTCGTGCCACACGAAGAATTCTTGACGCCTGTTTTGAACCGCGCACAACACCCCATGGGCCCGTGCTATGCCATTGACTGCCATGACCATCACAAGCCTTGTCGCCGCGCCATGTCCTCCCCATCCTGCCCGTGCCCA